TCGGGGCCTGGACCGGCTACCGTCCCTGAGATTGGACCTCCGACCAGTTCTGTCCCCTTTTATTATCCCAATTCTTCTTAAAATGGCAAGAGACCAAAATACCTAGATAGAGCACAGTTAGAGTCTGCCCAGGCTGAATAGAGCCTCACCCTCTTCCCCTTGGCCCAGATGACAATTCCCCCACGCCAGGGCATCGGGGTCCAACTCAGCATGTGGCAAAGGGATGAGTTTGAGGTCCTGAGACTGCTTCAGGTCATGCTGCACACACGCATGCACACACACACACATGCACACACATGCACACACGCGCACGCACACATGCACACACGCATGCACATGCACGCACGCATGTACACAAACTCACATGCACGCGCACACACGTACACACATGCACGTATGCACACACGCACGCGCACACACACGCGCGCATGCACACACGCTCGCTCACACGTGCGCACACACTCACACGCACTCATGCACACACACGCACACGCACAGCACACACACGCGCGCGCACACTCACACGCATGCACGCACGCACACATGCGCGCGCGCACACACACACGCACAAACGCACACATGTGCACGCACGCTCACTCGCATGCACACACTCACACACGCAGGCACACACACACGCATGCTCACACGCACACACACTCACACACGCACACACGCACGCTCGCACGCATGCACACACACTCAGACACCACGCACACACGCACACGCACGCACACACGCACGCACGCGCTCTACATGAGCCTTTAGCAAAGCACTGCGCATGTGCCATTCTGAGGTTTTTTTGCCTATGGCTGGCTAGTTTTTATCAGACTCAAGAAAGTAACTTAGGGCATTGCAGGGAAGACGTACCTCCAATGTCCATGTCCTCTCGAGTAAGACTCTAGTATTCCACCTAACTCAGCTGGGGGGGATGGAAATCTCCCCAGAGTTCCCTATGTTCAGCACAGAGGCATGCAACAAATACTAGGTGTTCTCTATAATGACAGTGGGGCTGGAGCTCAGCATTACTGCTGCTCATGCCTGAGCAGAACCTCTGCAAGGGCTGCAACTCACACGAAGCAAGGTTCTTGAAAACCCCACAGAAAAAAAGAATTGCAGAGCAAGCCAGGATAGAGCATGTACATGGAGCTATCTCAGTTATGACTGGGATGGAGTTTTTTCTTCAGCTCTTTGGTCTTGAAGGAAATCGCTGTACTCAGGAACACGGACAGTTTGAGAAGTTTGTTAAAAGCAAAGCAAGGGGAAAGGACGGCACACTCCTGAGAGCTTGGGACAAGCTGACCCAAATGAGAAGACAGCAGCATGAACTCTTAGGCTTGATATCTGTAGAGGGGTTTCTATGCATATTTATGAAGCAGATGGAATAGTCATGGGAATGAGGTGGCCTTTCCCCTTTTCAAGTTTTAGCAGGTGGGAGCTCTCTTTTAGGGCTTTTCTTCCCATGATCCTCCTGAAAAGCCACAAGAGAGGAACAAAATCACAATGCAGAGGGCAGTATAAGTAAGCCAGGCTCTTTAGAGGCTGCAGATCCCACAGTGGTGTACACGGGCAGAACCGAGGACGGTCCTTGGCACCTGGGCTTCTGATACAACAGAAAGAGCTCGCCTGTGGCTCCTCATAACTGGACCTTCAACTCAAAGTGTGCCCTCGACAGTCAGAGACAAAGCTACAAGATGCCGCTGCAGTTTCCTTCACGGCACATCTGTCTTGCCAGCCCCAATCCCCACCCCCCAAGTGAACTCTGAGGGTTTTGACACGATCCGTGGATTAATTCATTAGAGCGTTTACAGTTTTGTGGAGTTCTTGGTAGGCGGTGGAGACTGAGAAGCAGGTTGAGGAAAGGAGGTCACTGAGGGAATGTCCTGGAAAGCCACTTTCTCTCTTCTGCCAGGCCCTCCTGCCATGATGCTAGTGACAATGGACCCAGGTGTCCACAGACTAAGTCAGCACTCCTGTGAGCTAAAATAACCCTTCGGCTCCCTTCCTTAGGTTATCACATTTGTCGCAGCAGTGAAATGTTCCCACGCAGAGGTGTTTGAACACATCAGTTGGGAGCATTCCAGATTCACACCCTAACCGTCCACCTCTGGTCCCAGTCGACGCATGGCCATCCAATCACGCAAAATGGCTAACCCAGCGTCAAGAGTCCCCAAAATTTCAGCAGTTTCGGTATTAGTCACAAATCCGACAGTCTCGTCTGCGCCTCGAGGTGCCATTAGCTATGAGCCCTTAATAATAAAACATCCACATTCTCCCAACACCCAATGGCACAGAGTAAATAGCCCCACTCTACAAGAGAGGGATGTGGTGGGGGAAGGGGAACAAGGAAAGACTGAAGCGCAGCCATGTCCCAAACCAATAGGACAAATATTAAACACTGTAGCTACAACCCAGAATTTAGAGCGCATGGTCTCTTCATTGGTACCGTCTGGGTTCTTAAGGGCTTGGTGGTACTTACCCCTGTGGCCTTGCCGTTTGCAGCACACATGACCTTTCACAGTGACTCCATCGGTGCCTGTAGCTTCCCTTGACATACATGCAATGCTCCTGGCATCACAACCATCCTAGGGTGTCCATGGCAACATGGACCTCACCTCCACTACCTCCGGCGTCGACTATGAGGACTGCCCTGCACGGAATCTGTCCATGCAACACAGAAGCTGATAGGGGCTGTCTCCTGGAACCTTGTGCAAGCTTCTGCAAGCACATCGTCGCTACTGCATTCCTCATGCATGCTTGCAAAACCAGCACCGCATGCGCAGTGCCAAGCTCTGCTGCCAGCTCAAGACGTAGCCCCGCTCATCCGGATCATGGCTACAGTGGCCACCTAGTTCCTGTGCCTCTGAGTCGGGGAAATATTTCCCTACACAGACATTCCAAGCAAGGCCCCCTTTGACTGTACTTTTCTCTTTTGGAAGAAGATCCTTCCGTGCATTTCATACCCTGGAAACCAACCGAGGTAGGAGGAGTTTCTTCCCTGGGGCGCCTTTCCTACCGTGTGAAGCGCCTCCTTAACCATACTGCTCTATTCACACTCACCTTACCTGCGGCTTCAAGTGCTCTCCAGCCCCAAGTCCCACTTCCCCTCTCCACTTCCTCCCTCCGTCCCCACCACATGCCTGACTAGAAGGAGCCAGTGGTGATTCCTCTACCAAACAAATCCCTCCATTCCTCTTAGATCCAGCCTCACCCAACTGTTCGTGGGGAGCAACAGAGCACAAATGGCCCTTACCCCGACTCCCAAGTCACTGTTCCTGCCTGAAACCTCGTGGGTACAGACCCTATTGCCCACATTTCTATAGGCATTTGCGCCTTCAAATGTTCCGCCGCGTTAGCCCTGTGTGCTCTGCTCCCGCCTTCTGGGGCTCCTCCAGCCCCCACCTCCAAATCCTTCCATGGCTATCTCAGGAACAAACCGGTTCCAAAGGTGCAAGGACCACATGGTCAGATTTAGTTATACTAATGGCCCCCCTATCTGGACCAGTCCACTCTATCTGTTACTTTTGTCATTGTAGTGATAAAGAAAAACAAAAACAAAAACAGAAAACACCCAAGAGAAGTAATGAGAGAGGAAGAAATTATTTTGGCCCCTGGTTTGAGAGGGTAGGTATATCGTGGTACACAGGACATCCCGGCTGAAGTGGCTGCATCCCAAGTAGAAGCTGCATCAAGCAAGCCTGAGGGCAGGACAGAAACAGAGGTATGTATAACCTTCAAGGCCTGCCCCTCGTGGCTTGCTTCCGTGTGTGAAGGCCTCGTGCCCCAACCCTCACTCCACAACCTCACCAAACAGTTTCGGTTGCTGGCAACCATGTGTTAAAATACAATAGCCTGTGGGAGACAGTCAGATTCAGCCAATAGCATCACAGGTTGTACTAGTCTTTTGGGAGACACAGATTACATCCCAGAAATCCTAAACACCCTCTGCACCCTGAGAGCACCATATCGTATCTCAGGAAAATTCTAGGGTAGGTGGTTCCTCCCCCAATTAGCCAGCCCCTTCTTCATGGAGAGAGATGGAGCAGGGGAATGTCTTAAATACCAAACCAAATCATGTCTGGGGTGGAAACATCATGCCCTACACTAGAACCCAAGTCAGAGCCTCAGACTCAACATCCCTAGAAAACCACCCTCACCGGGATTTAGAAACAAGATGTAAGTGGCTTTGGACCAGGGATCGGCCCATGGGGACTGCAAGGAGCCAGAACCCGGATATGGGCCTTTAGATAGTGTTACAGGTAAAGACCACAGATAGGAATCTGGCCAGCAAGACAACAAACATAACCAATGCTACCTGACCCTGACCCTTCAATCCCCACTCCCTTGCCCAAGGCACCCAGGCCACTGGCACACTGCCCTCCAGGTGTCCCCCTAAGGACACCACTCTTTCCAGGTGAAATCTTCCCATGCCCCCTGGGATGCAGCCCCCTCCCCTGGACTCACTCATCTCAGAGCACAGGCTACAGACTCATCCTCCACCCTCCACAAAAGCTCAGGACCTGGCCTGCTATCAGCAGCCCTCCTCCAGGAAGCTGGCATCCCTCTGCCTGGCTTGGGACCAGTGGTGTGGCCTGAGGGAACGAGAAACTCCACTATATAGCTCAGTCCACAGTGTGGTCCTGCAGCTCCAGGGGCCTGCAGGTGAGAAGGGATGGTTTTCTCCATGGAAATAGGACAACTGTCCTCCCCTTATCCTTCTTTCTAGACCTCTTATTTCTTCCCTCGGGTCATCTGGCTGTCCAATTCCCCTACCTATTTCCCTGGACTCTGAATTCCCTAGCTCACGCCCCAACATACCGGCTAGAAGCCGCCCACACCGTGCACACATCTCGTCCTACCTACCTAACTTTATTCCCTTCCTCGGCCTTGTTGCACCCAGGTAGCCCCAGTCCCAAGACTGCCTGTCCCCTTCTGCCATCTCCAGTGTCCAGCAGGACCACAGGGCAGCCTGACATGAGCCTCTGTCTCTCTTTGCCGCAGGCATGGGATCCCTAAGGAGCTGCTGGGCCCTCTGGGCTGGAGCAGCCCTCCTGTGGGGTAAGTCAGATTGAACCCTGCCCATGTCCTTGTTCGTGTCTGGGAAGCTTGTCTGCCTGGATCAGCATCTTTCGTTTAGAGCCCTTCCGTAATCCGTTCCCAGGATCCCCCAGGTTAGCTGACATGGAAGTGAGAGCCTGTGAAAATATAAGGAGGGATTTCCCTCCCGCGTGTTTGGAGTGTTGAAAAGTCTAGTGGCTTCTATTTTTAGGAGACTTTGTCTATGCTTCCACGGTCCTCATCTTCCCTTCTTCTTCCTGTACACACCAAAGAGACTATAAAGACAGAGATCACACGTAAGCTCCCACAGCACTTCAAAATATGGGTCGGAGATTTCCTATAACGCTTCAGCTAGCCAGCCAGCTTCATGTGGAAGGTAGAAGATGCCGCCTGAACAATAAGACAGCAAACCATAATCCCGGTCAGCAAAAGCGACCGGTGGTAACTTATGCCAGGTGGACCATGGTGCTGTTTCCGGTGTGGCCACATCTCTGCATTCCAGCCTCCCTGGGTCCTTCATGTGCTTCAGCATAGTTAAGGGACAGGCTCTGGCCCTGTGTGCGACCTCGGGCTCAGCCCATGCAGATGTCACCAGGCAGCTGCGGTGTTGTGAGGACACAGGACCAGAGTCAGCGGGCCTGGGGTTAAACCCAGCTGTGCCTGTGTGACCTTCAGCCCCTTTGGTGGCTGTGGCTGTGAAGTGGGGACAATGCCCGACCCTCCCACCCCCTCAACAGGACTGTGATGAGAGTGAACAAATGAATGCGTGTGACGTCTAGATCAACTTGTGGGGAAAGGTCAGGGTGGTGCAGGCTGAGCTGTTGCCAGGGCCAGGGTGGAGGGGGCAGAGGGAGAGAGTTCTTGAGGGCCGGGGGCTGACCAGGAAGGGCTGTTTCCTCCAAGATTGTCTTCAAACTGGGAACCTAGACCCAAGGCTTTCTCATCCTGATGAAAACACCACCCCATCTCAAGGGGCGCTTTATAAGTGACTAGTAGAATAGGGTGGGTAGATAATTGATTAATTATAATGATTGCAACTCAATCCTTGGGTTCAGTTCCACCGCCCACAGTCCACACTGAAGGAGGCCCCAGGGTTCCTCCCTCGTGAACATTTCTAACTCTGTTTCCGACTCTCTCCCCCACCCCCAGCTCGGCTCTCCCCAGCAGAGGCTTCCTGCCAAGGCCTTCAGTGTGCATCTGGGCACCGCTGCCAGATGGTGAGCGGGAAGGCCAGGTGTGTGGCAGAGTCCACAGCTGTGTGCCGCGCCCAGGGTGATCCCCATTACACGACCTTCGATGGCCGCCGCTATGACATGATGGGCACCTGCTCCTACACCATGGCTGAGCTGCACAGCACCAAGAAATCCCTGCTGGCCTTTAAAGTAGAAGCCAAGAATGAGCATCGGGGCAGCCGCCAAGTCTCCTACGTGCGCTTGGCCACCGTGCATGTCTACAACCATACCGTGTCCCTGGCCTATGGAGAAATAGGCGTTGCCCGGGTGAGTTCCCCAAGGCTTTGAGTTTCAGGCTTTTAAACTACCAGTCCAAAAAAAGGCCATCCAACACGCCAGCCAAAGAGATGGGTGGTAGAGGTGATTTGCTCCATGTGGCCGCTTGGGTAGAACAATTAACCTTGACGTCTCTCAAGGGGATCAGCAAGAACTTTACAAGCTTATGGGGGCAGGAAACAGGAGTCCACAGCGGAGAGAGCAGACACAGGTGCTTAGGGCGTGGCTTCTTGCTCATCATGGCCACTCTGGTTCGAGATGAGTTCTGGAGAAGCTGGAATTGCTGTCAGCTCTCAAGGGACCCAAGCTGGTCCCCGTGAAGTGATTACATCCACCCATGGGTGTGGTCTGGCCACTGCGGACAGTACTTCTCATCCGGGGGTGATCACAACATGGTGGCCTGTCTTGTGAGGTGACCCTGCTGTTGACCTGAGTAGCTTTGGTTCCCTGTCGTACAGATAGATGTCTGTTGGTCTGTGGAGGCACTTGAGAATCACTGGGGTTTGGTGTCCAGCACTCATGCCTACAACTCCATTTCCAGGGCCTCCGTTGTCCTTTTCCGACCTCTGTGGCTACTGTATGTTCACATCCATCCGGAAAACACTCAGATGCATTAAAAAATCAGTAAATCAATCTTTGTAACGCCTCTTTAAGACCCAGCACAGTGAGGCATTGATGCTGGTAAGGCTGGAAGAACCCGTTGTGGTGTGCATGTCTTAGACAATTTCACTAGCAGCCTGTGTCTTGAACAAAGTGACATTCCGCTGTCTTTTTAACAGGAGTCTTTTAAGGTAGCCAGTTAGGTGATCAAATCTCACTTAAAATCTGGAGGTGTGGCTCCGAGTCTCTCGAGTGCCTCCTGTCACACAAAACGTTGCTGTAAGTTGAGGAGTCTGTGGTCCTTCTTCAGATGAACCCCAACAGGCTCCATCGGGGTTCCCATCATCCCTCTCTGTCGGGTCAGCAATGTGGAGGCTTTCCGGGCTCATCTGTCGATGTCACTTTTGCCTGCATTTTCTACCTCTCTGGGAAAAGGGTGACTTGGGCATGGAGTTTACAGACTAAGTCACTCCCTAGACTGTGAAACTGGACCTCTCAGGACATACAGGAAACGGTGGTAGGTGCCATCAGCCAGGCTACACTGTCATGGCTGTAGGAACGCCTGCCTGGAGGGCACGGTAGGATCGGTTCTTTCTGTTAAGGGGTGTTAAGTCAGAGGCTTATGCATGTGTACCTCAAGCTCAGCTGTTCCCTGGCTACAGGGAAGTAAGGCTTAAAGCTGAATAGGCCGTGGGAACCCCCGCCAAGCCACCTCAGTCCTTAGGAGGCCATTAGCTTAGGAGGACTCAGGTTAGCTGAAGCTGATGATTGTGATAGCTCTTACAGGGTGCAGCGGCCTCTCCACTTTGAGGACAGTGTAGTGAGATAGTCCTTCTCTGGCACTGACCACACCCATTGGGGGGTGGAGCCATGGGCGGAAGTGACCTGTGGAAGGAGGTCAGAGGGGGCCAGGAAAGGCGCTCTCTTTCTGGCGTCTCTCTTTCTGGTGTGACTCGGACAGGAGAGGATCGGGTTGAATTTCCTGGTGTTCATCTGTCTAGGTTGTAAGTTATTTCTCCCTGAATAAACATCTTTTCAGCCTATTTGTTTATCCTGATCCTTATTTACCGCGATAGGACAGAGCTCTAGTTCCAAGTTTTCAACTCTTCATCCAACTTTTGGATAAAGCTGGTGGCTTATTTGGTCTCTCTCTTTTGTTTGTTTGTTTGTTTGTTAATAGTTATATTTGGGGGGTTTATTGAGCCTCTCACTTGCAGACATTATCTTCCATAGTGAAAATTATTTGTAATTGTTTATTAACTAGTTATTTTTCCCATGCCCAATCCGTTTCTCCTCCCTCCCAGCCCCTCCCCTCCCCCCATCCCTACCGAGTCCACTCCTCCTTTTTCTTCAGAAAAGAGCAGACCTCTCACCTACATCAGCCAGCCATGGCATATCAACTCACAGTAAGACTAGGCACCTCCTCTCCTATTAAGGCCGGATGAGGCAACCCAGTAGGAGGGATGCATCCCAAAAGCAGGTGCTTTGCTTGTTTGTTTGTTTGTTTGTTTGTTTTTAATGTTCTTAGTCCTTGTAGACTCTCTAGGCTGTGTCCAGGTCCATGCCCCTGCCCCCTTAATTGCTTGTAATTTGTATCAGGCACATCTTACCAAGTTAATGAAGGAGATTGACCTTGCATTTCTGGAGGCTTCTGGCTGTAACTTAGTACAGCAGCTGCAGTTTGACGAAGTCTTGGGAACGAGGCTGAGAGAAGCGGCAGCTCTCCTGAAATGCATTGTATCGTTTGCAAGCTTCTTGGCTCAAGTGCCTTTGTGATGGGGTCCAGCCAGCATCTGTCATTGCTGGAATCTGAGTCCCTCCTGTCTTTAAACTGGTAGCACATCTCTTGAATACGGACTATTGGGACTAAGTTGTCTCACTAGCTTTGCTTAAGACAAGGCCTTCTACAGCAGCCCAAGAGGGGTAGCTGGAAAGCTGGCAAGAGTTTCAGCAGCCTTTGACCACCTAAACGGGTTGTAAGTAGAAGCAGGATGTGGATCCAACAGCAGCTGGGTTAGCCTTGGGTGTTTGAGCAACCTACCAGGTCCACCTCAGTGGGAGCTGCCCTCAGTCGCACCGGAATGGACACCCAGAGGAAACTGGGTGCCCTGATGGCCTCTGCAGGAAGAAGCCATTGTAGAGGCACCATTGCATCAAGTAGGTGTCTGTCTTGACGCTCCAGCAGCTTCACTGAAAGGGGAGGAGCCAGCTGGGTCCATCAAAAGGCAGTGGAATGTGTCCTGAGAATTCCTGGGAACGCAGGGCTTGAACTTACAGTTGCACTGATTCCCTTCCCTTCGGGTATTCGTGGTGAACCAGAAGGGGGTTATCGTTGATGTCCGGGATCTTTATACCCAAGATTGGTTCCCACTGTTAGAAGTATCTTGGTTATATAAAAATGGTTCAATTGTGTCCTGCTCTTCCACAGGATCCAAATTCAGTTCCCATCATCTACATAAAATTCCCATCATCCAATATGATGATTCATTACTGTCTGTAACTCCAGTTCCAGGGGATCTGATGCCTCTAGGCCCTATGGACACCTGTACTCTCTCTCTCTCTCTCTCTGTCTCTCTCTCTCTCTCTCTCTCTCTCTGTGTGTGTGTGTGTGTGTGTGTGTGTGTGTGTCTCTCTCTCTCTCTCACACACACACCACAAATATGTGTGTGTGGGGGGGTGTATTTTTAAAAAGCAATTCCAACTGCAAAATGGTATAAAAATTCAATGACCCATTAAAGAGGAATGTCGCTTTTCCATACAATGCACACTTAGGCCATATTATATTGCAGTGCTCTGTCCCTAATGGAGAATTTAACTTTTTAATTTTAGAAACAGGGAATTTTAAATTTTCTGTTGCAACTAGTTAAAAGAATTGAACCCCACTCTATGCAGATCTGGTCGTGGACTTGCTTCCCTCCCAGCTGAGGTTCAAAGGTCACCCCACCAGTTCTATACATTAAAACAGCAAACAAAAGCTGGGCAGTGGTGGTGGCGCGTGCCTTTAATCCCAGCACTCGAGAGGCAGAGGCAGGCGGATCTCTGTGAGTTCAAGGCCAGCCTGGTCTACAAGAGCTAGTTCTAGGGCAACCAGGACTATACAGAGAAACCCTGTCTCAAAAAACAAAACAGACAAACAAACAAAAACCCAGCAAACAAAATGTCAGTCAGGACTGCTCAAAAAGAGCCATGTGCCAGGTGTGACAGGGAGGAAGAGACATCCTGATGTCCTCAAGACCAGAAACAGACAGGGGAGGTGGGAAACCAGATCCCTCATGCCCAGAGAAACTTCTTGGACAGTCAGGACTTAGATACAGAGCTCCTCTGTGCATGCGCCATGGAACTGATCAGATCTCAATGCAAATAAATTAAGACCCCCCAAAGCCACTGCAGGATTAGGTGCTCTTACCTGGTATGAAGAAGAATTTGAAAGTTAGCAACAAGTGTTAAGTTCCGTTCCTCAGAGGCTAGAATCCTCAAAAGTTACTCCTGGCATCCCCGGGGTGGAGAAGGATGCGGATGTAGGAGTCGGGACAGGGAGAATGATCTGGGATGGCGGCAAGCTGGTGTTGCCTGCCATTTGAGGATTCACCAGTTCATTGTGCCCAACATTGCCCATTCCAATTGTCCTGGCTAGCCCTGTCAACTGGACACCTTCAAGTCATCTGAGAGACGCCTCGCTGGAAGAACCGTCTAGAGCAGTTTGGCCATATCTGTGAAGGATGGTCTTGGCCATTGCGTGCGGTTGGGCTGTCCACAGTGGACAGCACTATCCCCAGGCATGTGGGCCTGACCTATAGAAAATAGCTTGGGAGTGAGTCAGCCAACAAGCAGTATTCCTTAGGTTTCTCGAGCTCTTGTGCTACATTCTTGCTCTGACTTCCCTCACTGATAAATGCGATCTGAATGTGCAAGCCAAATAAACCCTTTCCTCCCCCAAAGATGCTTCTGCCCAGAGCACTGCATCTCAGAAACAGAAAGGAAACTGGCACCCTGCAGTACTGTGATAGCGGTTTAATGAGGCAGGCGGCCTGCGGCAGACAGACTTGTCATCATCTTGGTGGCTGCTGGTCTTGACTGGCTCTGCCCACAGCAGCCGGTTGCCGCTCACCCCCCCCCCCATCTCAGGGACGCGAACCCTGCCTCTCACTGGTCCCCTGCAGCCCCTTGCTGCCACCACAGCTGCCCGCTTCCTCCCGCACGCTGGCTGCGGCTGCATGCTTGTAGTGAGCCTGCTGTTCTCCAGGCACTGCTGGAGATGCTGCAGACAGAACCCTGAGGGGGCCTTCTAGTGGCTCAGACAGATGGAGAGTGCAGGAAACTAGCCCACTGTGGGAGAAGCCTAGCTGCCCTGGGGACTGGAGGGCAGAGGAGGAGGGGCAACAGGAAGGGCGAGCAGGGATGGCCTCACTGAGTCAGTGACACCTCAGCGGACATTAGCTGGGGTGGGGGTCTCCGCGCACCTCAGGGAAGAACACTTGGGCCACCAGAGGTACAAGAGCAAGCATCCCTAGGCTCAGCTGGGAAGGACGAAGGAAGGACAAGGAGGGGAGGCGTCCTGTGTGACTAGAGCTGGGGACATGAGGCCTGAAGGGGAGATAAGACAGATGTCTGACCTCTGCCACCTCTCTGCAGATCGACTACCAGTACTCAAGCCTCCCTGTCTCCCTGAGTGAGGGTCGCCTGCGCGTGTTCCAGAGCGGGATACAGGGCGTGATCGAGCTGGACTTTGGGCTGGTGGTCACCTATGACTGGGACAGCCAGCTGACACTCAGCCTGCCCAAGCGCTTCCAAGACCAGGTGTGGGGGCTGTGTGGCAACTACAATGGGGACCCTGCTGACGACTTCCGCAGGCCTGATGGGAAGCCAGCTTCTGATGTCCTAAACTTCACCAAAAGCTGGAAGCTGGATGATGGGGACAACTTATGTGAGGATGGTTGTTACGGCAATTGCTCCTCCTGCACCGCAAGCCAGTCCGAGATGTTCCAGGGAGACCTTTTCTGTGGCTTGCTAGCTCTGTCCATGGGCCCATTTGCTGACTGTCATGACTTCCTGGACCCCCAGCCTTTCCTGGAGGAATGTGTGTATGACATGTGTGTGACTGGAGGGGAGCGACTCACCCTGTGCCGGGGCCTCAGGGCCTATGCTCGAGCCTGTGTGAGCCTGGGCATCTCTGTCCGGGAATGGAGGTCTCGAACCAACTGCCGTGAGTCCCAGCCAGGGTTGGGGGGAGGACTTGGTGAGGGGCCGGGGAACCACAGAATCTGCTTGGTAACTGGGCACTGACTGCGTTTCTGCCTGGTGACAGGCAATAACAGGAACACTGTGATGTCCGGGACAACCCAGCTCCACCACAGCGAGCCCAAGGCTACACATAGGGATAGACTGCAATGGCTGGTATGAGAGACAGGGTACTAAGGCAAAACTGTAGAGCAGATGGAGAGGGGTGCGGGATGAGACCAGGGAAGTTAATGAAGACTCCCGCTACAGTGATGGGGAAGGTCTTCCTAGAAAAGGAATGTCCGATTCGGAACCCATGGATGGGAAGGACTGGAGTAGCCGGAAAGGGGAAGAAGCTTGTGGGCTCCTGACCCAGGGAACCACAAGCAAGGTAGTCCGCTAAGTTACAAGACAAAAATCAATGACTCCCATGACTCTCCTGCCTCTGGACTAAGCCACAGATGACTAGCCAGATGTGCATCCACGGAAGCAGTCACTCATTCCATCAACAAACGCGTCGAGCCTTCCCAGCAGCCTCTCCCGTGCTGGCAATGCGCTATGCACAGTAAGAGCTCACACTAACGTGTCTGTGGCCTGTGGCCGCTCAGGGAGATGGTGGTGATAGGACCAAAGGGAGACAAAGACACTGTTTGGACTTCCTGCATCCCTATGACGCCCCATTGTCCAGTGAGCCTCCCAGTAAGTCTCTCCAAACTCAAGACAAAGGGGTCATCTCTTAGGCCCAGCGGTAGGTGCTAAAGCTTCAGTGTGACTGAGTCAGGCTATCCCCCCACTTCGGTAGAACTTATCCCGGAAGGGGAGCGACATGCAGGCAGTTAGCAGACCAACCTTCAAAGAACAAAGAAAGCGAGATCCTGTGATGGTATCTGGAAGCCCGGGGAAGACTTTGGAAATCAGTGTCACTAGGCCCTCCCCCCAGGGCACAGCGAGGTGATAGGGTCAGCTAAGCTGTCCCAGTGATGGCATGAAGCACCCCGTGAAATCAGTGTTATGTCACCCCATTTACTCCCAGGCAAGGACAGTGTTGGTGTTGGAATCCAGGCTATATGGGCTCCTGTAGGCTTTGGTACAGGGGACCAGGACACCAGGCAGGAAGCTGCTGTGGTTCGAGGGCTGTGAAGACAGATTCTGGGTGGGCTCCGACTATGAAAGTTGCAGGATTTGCCCACTGACTGGTCGTCCAGGGATGGGATGGAGGAGGCCACTGGGGCCTGAGCATCAGGAAGGGATGGGTGCCATTAACTGAGGGGTGTGGAGCTCTGAGAGAGCACCATAGCACAACTCAACCCTTTCTCCCCAACCCTCTAGCCCTGACCTGTCCAGCCAACAGCCACTATGAGCTCTGCAGCCCAGCCTGCCCAGCCTCCTGCAACTCAGAAGCTGCACCCACCGACTGCTCTGGGCGCCCCTGTGTGGAGGGCTGCGTGTGCCTTCCGGGCTTTGTGTCCAATCGCGGCCATTGTGTGCCTGTATCGTCCTGTGGCTGCACCTACCAGGGCCGCTTGCTGGCCCCGGGTCAGGAAGTGTTTGCTGACAACTTATGCCGACGCCGCTGCACCTGCGATGCAGCCACCCTGAAGATGATCTGCCAGGACACTTCAGGATGTCTGCCTGGGGAGCGCTGTGGGATACAGGATGGCTTCTTGGGTTGCTACCCAGAATACTTCCACAGCTGCCAGGCATCCGGAGACCCTCACTACTTGAGCTTGGATTTGCGGAGCTACAATTTCATGGGTACCTGCACCTACATGCTTACCGCCTCGTGTAACCAGCACCCCTCCCTTCCTGACTTCAAAGTGGTTATGGAAAACGAACGTCGGGGAAGCCAGAGTGTGAGCTTTGTGCACTCTGTGCAGTTGGAGGTCTATGGGGTGAAGTTGGAGGTGCCCCGGGACTACCCAGGCAAAGTACTGGTGAGTACTGCGGTCGAAGCATTAGGCCACTGAAAGATTAGTGACTGCAGGGGAGGGGTGGAGTGGGGCTCAGTCAATGATCTCATGGCTAAGGTCCACACCCCAGACTTAGGCCCTGCTACCCCTCCTTCAGAAGGGGTGAACAAATTAAAAGTGGGAAACATAGCTTTCCTTGTGCTAGGCTCTGTATCCCCCCCCCCCCCCCGTCCACCCCATGTTTGGTATGGAAAGTCTCCAGATAAAGAGAGGGCACAATTATTAAAAGGTGTTAACATTCTCCCATCTCTCTGACATGATATTTTTACCCAGTGCTTGGATATTAACTAACAATGTGTATTAAAACAAAGGTCTTAAACAGAGAGGTTCAGAGCGCTATTGGTACTGGGGAGATGATGGGCAAAGCAGGCACCCTCAACTGTTGGTCCTGCATCTCTACCCAGATGGATGGCATCAGTCACCACTTGCCCTTTCAAGCTGCAGGTGGAAAAATCGTAGTGTTCCGCCAAGGCAAGTACGCCATGCTGCGCACAAACTTTGGCCTGGCCGTCAGCTACAACTGGGACACCCACGTGACTGCCAAGGTGCCCAGCAACTATGCTAAAGCTGTGTGTGGGCTCTGTGGGAACTTCAACGGCGACCCTCGCGATGACCTGGGTGTGCAGAATAAAGGGGAAGCCCTTGACCCTCGAGACTTTGGGAAGAAGTGGCTGGTGACAAAGAAGCCCGGCTGCAGGACAGACGAACAGCTTCTGTGCCCTGACATAAGCAGCAAGTTGGTGGCACAGAATAAGAAGAAGTGCCAGGTCCTCGGTGACAGGAGTGGCCCGTTCAGGGACTGTTGGAAAGTGCACGCATTCAACAATGCTCTCATAGAGTGCGTGTATGACAGCTGCCGCATGCTGGGCCAAACCAAGCCGCTGTGTGATGCACTGACCACATACACCACCATATGCCAGGCTGAAGGGGTCACTGTGCATCCCTGGAGGAGTGAGAAACTTTGCCGTGAGTACCGGGAGTGGCAAGCCGGGCCGAGGGGGGGGGTTGGATCTGGTGTTTGTTCATTACCATGCAAGTCGCATTGTTTAAGCCTGCTGACGCCGGGTGAGGAAGGGGCTGTGCTTATGCCATGGAACTGAGGGACAGCAACATGACACTAAGAAGTCATAGACAACAGCACTTGTGACCGAGTACACCTAGCAACCCCAAGTTTGATTGCCAGTGACAACCATCAGTCAGAGACAATAGGAAATTGTCGTGTATTTGAAATGAGACTGCTATGACTAAAAGACAGAGCCTTCTCTCTTCATTTTCTTTCACTACATTTAAATGACCAGTGTGCCTGGAGCCACAGTATCACAGCATGGGGCGCCGCAATAGCTTGGGGCGCTGCAGTAGCTCAGAGTGGGGAGTTCTGGTTTGCTTTCAGTGGTTTGGGGTTTGCTTTTATGTGACACCGAGGTCATAGAGCCTGACCCAAGCTTGGCAAGTTCTGCCAGGGTGCTCAGTCCAGCCTGCCTGGCTGGGTGCTTCCTCCGCTTTTGTAGAGCTGCTCGACTGACAAGTCAGAGTGGCTAGTGTTTAGGGAGGGAAATAAGAAAGGGTTTGATTTGGTTGGTTGGTTGTTTATAAAGGTCTATTTATTTTTATTGTATGTGTGTGGGTGCTTTGCCCACATATGCATCTATGCACCAATGGACATTCAGAAGAGGGCATCAGATGCCCTAGGTCGGAACTTACAATTCCTGTGAACCACTACATGGGTGCCATGAACCGAACCCAGGTCCTCTGCAAGAGCAGCAAGTGCTCCTAACAGCTGAGCCATCTCCCCACTGAGTGTTTTCACTAAACTGTAGTATAAGTAATTATTTTTAATTACCAAATATTACTTAATATTTGAAATTACTAAACTAATATCTTATTAATACTATAAAATGAAGAAGCATGCTATACTCACATACTACATAGATTCTACATATAGGCATGCATAAGCTTATTTAAAATATGTCACACGTATTAGCATTTATACCCAATATGAGTACTGTCATTAAAGATATTACAGATTGACCACAAACCACAGTTGCATCAGAACTGACTCTTATTTCTGAGGCTCAGAAACAAGGCTGAAAAGTGTTCCCTTGATCCTACTGAACAGGGCGGTTTCTTGAAATAGGGCCACTTTGTGCACGCGTCCCTGTGTGTTTGCGTGTGTATGTGTGTGCACTTGTGTATATTGGAGAATCAGCTGTGTCAAACCAAGAGTAAAAACCTTTGATCTTGACGGCCCCTCTCTCTGCAGCAATGAACTGTCCTCCTCACAGCCACTACGAGCTGTGTCACCGAGGCTGTCCCTTGACCTGTGGAGACCTGCCAGTGCCTGGAGGCTGTGGCTCAGATTGCCACGAGGCCTGTGTCTGTGATGAGGGATTTGTCCTCAGTGGTGAGATTTGTATACCCCTGTCCTCCTGTGGTTGCGTATACCAGGGCATTTACCACCATGTGGGAGATGACTTCTATCCGGGACCTGAATGCAATTCGCTTTGCCACTGCCATAAGGGTGGCCTGGTGGCCTGTCAGCCCTCATATTGCAGCCCACATGAAATCTGTAAGGTGTCCAGCGGCATCCTGAGATGTGTGGCTGTGGACTCAGCCACCTGCCGGGTATCGGGAACGTCCCATTACAACACCTTTGACGGCCGTAGCTTTGACTTCATGAGCACCTGTGTGTTTGTGCTGGCTCAGACCTGCTGGACCCGGCCGGGCCTAAAACAGTTCACAATACTGCAGGAGAATGCGCCCTGGGACAACCAGCAAGTCAGTGCGATTAAGATGATCACCATCCAGGTGGACAACTACACTCTGCAGCTGGAGCAGAATCAATGGAAGGTCAAGGTGAGAGCCGGGGCGGGTATGGGAGGAGGCTCCCTCAGGGGCTGAGATGTGAGGTGTGGCGTGGACGGTGCTCAGTCCAGGAGGGGGTTAAGAGGCTCAGGAAAGAATGTGAGAAAGTATGTCCTCAACAAGAGGAGGTACTGATAGCAAGCTTAGAGTAAGGCGGCCTCGGGGACCTGAGGCCTCTTCCCATACGGCTTTGTCTCTCCTGATCTACCCTTAACTGACTCTCTCCTCATCTTCCTGTATACTCCCACCTTACCTGGTCCCTGCCTATTGTGTGCCGCTTTCTGGGAAGACACAGACGCGCACACGCGCACACACGTGCACATACACACACTTCATCACAGACACAGGCCTCGTGGCAATCTGAGCCACAGCCTCCAGGCACTGGCAGGTCTCCACAGGTCAAGGGACAGCCTCGGTGACACAGCTCGTAGTGGCTGTGAGGAGGGCAGTTGGTTGTTGCGGAGAAAGGGGCCGTCAAGATCAAAGATTTTCACTCTTGGTTGGACACAGTTGGATCCCCGATATACACAAGTACACACATACTACTCACCCCTAGATGGGAACCAATGACAGGCCAAGATAAAAATACCACCTAAGTCTGACTTGGCAAACCAAATGAGTTTATTGGGTTGCTTAAAGGAATATACACTCATGGGGCATAAACAACTCAAAGGAAGCTGGGAAGGCAAAGTCCATCCCAGCACATATGATGACTTTGGATGCTGAAACTGTGGAGCTTTCTGCAACACCTTCAGCTAGTTCTGCAAGTGAGAGAGTATCCCAGCAGTCCTGTTGCTTATATAACCTCGGGGAAGAGGGAATCATATGGATCTGCTAAGTTTTAGGAACTTCCTGTGACTTGTGAGTTATGAGTCCTTATTATGTCTTTAGTCTTACAGAACTTCCCGTTAGAGCTTCTGAGCCCTCATGAGCCTCCCTCAAGGACGAAGTGTGTTCACAGGAAATTACTACCCACCTCCTTGATTTCCTACCCACAAGGAGCATTTGATTCGGTCACAGCATAGAAAAGTTGGGAAGTGAAAAAGGTTCAAGGACAGAGGACAGTCTATGACTCCATCATCCCTTAGCAACCATAGTAACAACAGTACAGCAGCTACCCATTTTGCATGCTGCTCCCAGGCTTGATCACTGCTAAGCACCTGTCACCCTCACCATCAATTTAACCTTAAGATTGTAGCTGGAGAAGGCACCATGATTGGCTTCCTTTGTTTGAAAGACAAGGTCCCAATCTCTGTGATAAAATCCTTTAGCAAAGACACGGTGCATGTTGCTGAGAAACAGCACAGTGGATCCTGCACCACACCCTGTTGCTTTCCTGAACTGGAAGGATTGGGTCTGAGGTGGAGCCTGGCATTTGAGGTACACTGGGAACATCCCCCACTGACATGCACACAGCCATTGCTCTGGTAGCAGTAGGCGCCAGAGCTGTCACATGCCCTGAACATGGGCTACAGGACGCAGAGTCTTCCCTAACGAGCACCTGACAAATAAGCAGCTCCAGACACATGGGGACAGTCTCTGTCCCTCACTGCACAGGGAGAAACGGAGCCCAGAGGTTAACTGACTTGCCCCTCCCTATTCATGGCCAGCCTGCTGGGGAGAAATGGCTGCCGATGTCTAGAGCACGTCTAGAGCACGTCTTTCCCCTGCCCACTCCCTGCCTCCTCACAGCTCTGGAAACCCAGTGCACAGAGTGTGTGTGATGAAACAGGCACAGATGTGGTGGCCAGGGGTGCAGCTCCCAGACCTGGTTGGGGCCAGAGTCCTCGGGTGACCTTCAGATGAGGAATGGAGCCTGCCTTTGCATCCAGCCACACTGACAGCAGCTCTGAGTGCCCTTGACTGTCCAGATGAAAACTTGCAGACACAGCCCCGGCCATGGGAGGAGGAGCCACTGGGGAGGGGCGGGGTCCACAGTGCAAACCTTTGTCCATGTCATGTATCAGATTCCCTGAGTGACACTCTGGAGGTAAGGCACCGGACAGACCGACAGACCGATCCCCCTAGGCAGACAGGAAGCAGAAACACAGGTGACTCCAAGAGCCCAGCCATGCGCCCCGGGGCTCAGTCCCTGCATTTTCAGTCACCATGGCACCTGGTGATGAAGGATCCCCTCACCCAGGCTGGTGAGGTCGGTACCCCTCTGAGACCTCTGAGAGTTTCCTGGTGGACTTAAATTAACATGTTGGGCTGGTGAGATGACTTTAACAGGTAAATGATGGCCTAAATTCAATCTCTCCAACCAATTCCCAAGTGGTGCACTCTGATGCCCATGTGTGTACTCCCTCCCACAAGTAAGTACTGAAATAAAATGTAACTTAAAAACTTTTTTAACATAACATGTGTTTATATTCTTACAGTTCTGGGTGTGGAATCTAAAGTCAAGACAGCCACACCCCTCCAGAGGCTGCAGGGGAGGAACCTTCCTGCCTCCCAGCTTTTGGTGGCTCCAGGCTGTCCCTAGGCTTACAGTGTCAATGCTTCATCCTGGCTACTGGGTCTTCCCATGCCACCCTCTCTGTGGCCTCTGTCCTACTCTGCTGCCTCACAGGAGACTTGTCACTGGGTTTAGGGATCCACGGCGTTCTCATGTCAAGACTGCAACTTTTAATCACACCAACAAAGACCCTTTTCCAGCTATGGTCACGTTTCAAGGTCCTGGCTAGGATAAGGCACTGTTATTCTACATACTTTACAAATATGGAAACTGAGGGCCAGAAAGATGGGGTTACTCCAGATCTCGGAGTCAGACCGGAACACCTATGGACAGACTAGGGATATTTAATGATGGATGGTCTGAAAGAGTACTCTCTGAACTTTGGCATTCCCTGCTTTCCAGGTGAACGGTGTGGACATGAAGATGCCTTTTATGCTGGACGGGGACAGTGTTCAGGCCTTCCAGCATGGCATAGATGTGGTAATCAGGACCAAATTTGGCCTGCACCTGTCCTACGATCTCAACAACAATGTGCATGTCACCATCCCCCATAACTACTATAAACACATGTGTGGCCTGTGTGGGGACTACAATGATGACCCCAAGAATGACTTCCAGAAGTCTGATGGCTCACAGGCAATCAGTCCCAGTGAGTTGGGTATCTCCTGGGAAAAGGCTGGGCCAAACTCTTCCTGCATACGCCTGCCTGCCTGCAAACCAGGCCAGGACTGCAAACCAAAGTGCAGCCCTGAGCAGGAGGACAAGTATCATGGGGTGCAGTTCTGCGGGCTGCTCTCCAGCCCCACGGGGCCGCTGGCTGACTGCCACAAGCTGCTGGACCCCCAGGGTGCCTTGAAAGACTGTGTCTTTGACCTCTGCCTGGGAGGCGGCAACCTGAGCATTCTCTGCAACAACATCCACGCCTATGTGAGCGCCTGCCAGGCAGCTGGAGGGGAAGTGGAGCCGTGGAGGACAGAAACCTTCTGTCGTGAGTGGTGGACACTGAGGGCTGGGGAAAGCGAAGCTTGGGGAGCAGAATGGGTAGCCCCCCACCCCCACTCTTGTGCCCTAACCAGCATTCCCTCCTCACAGCAATGGAGTGCCCCCCTCACAGCCACTATGAGGTCTGTGCTGACACCTGCTCCCTGGGCTGCTCGACCATCACCACTCCAATAGAGTGTCCGGACACGTGTGCCGAGGGCTGCGAATGTAACAGTGACTTCCTGCAGAGCATCACAGGCTGTGTGCCCATGGAGAAATGTGGCTGCTACTACAGTGGGGTCTACTATGAGGTAGGAGCCCAGCCATCTTGACAGAACCTGGAACTTCCTCCTGAACCAAGCCCCAATGCTCATCAGCACTGTAGCCTTCCCACCATTCAACCTCCCGACTCTCTCCCGGGCCACATCTATGCCGTTCCCTTATCCCAACTGGGTACACCTTGTCCTCATCCAAACCTTAATTTCCTTCCCTCGGTTCTACGCCCCTCATGGTACTGGAAAGGATCTTGCCACATGTCCCCTTGGGTAGTGATGTTTTAAAGGTAAGACTTAACCATTTTGTCCTGTGTCTGGGCCAAGATGCTTCTGCATCAGCTGGGCAGAATCCTTCTGTTCTGCTGAGATAAAGATGTGGGAGAAAGGAAAAGCTTTTCAAGTGACAACCCTGGACACTTTTGTTGGTTTGGTTTGGTTTTGTTTTTTGGATTTGGGTTTTTTGAGAATGGGGTTTATCTGTAGCGTTGAAGCCTGTCCTGGAACTCGCTCTGTAGACCAGGCTGGCCTCAAACTCACAGAGATCTGCCTGCCTCTGCCTCCCGAGTGCTGGGAGTAAAAGCACTGCCCGCCTATCCTGAGCACTTTGTATCCGCAGGTGCTTGGCATTAGCGAGCTTGCAAGAGCAGGTGGTGGCCTCTAGTGTCACAGCTCTGGTTCCGGCTTGGGTAATAAGATCCTTCATTTTGGAAGCATCACAGCCTAGGAAACGAAGGGTTCCTTGGCCACCACAGCTGCATCGTTCCACGCTAGGCTGGGGTGTGGGAGTCCCTTGGATGAAATGGGCTCTGGAACTCTCCCAGCAACCAGAGCCTGCTGTTTCTCCTCTAGCTCTGTACCTCGTCCTGTCCTCCCTCCACCCACTCTACGTCCTTCCTAATTCTGCCACCCCGCTCTATCCCCACTGGGGCTGTTTGCGCCCACCCTTCAGCTGGCGGGCAGCCAGCCACCCTGCGGCTTTTGCACTTGAGCCCTGCAAGCAGCTCAGCTGGTCTCCTCTTCAGCTGTCAAGCTTTGAGGCTTTTACACCTGAGCTTGCTGGCTGCAGCCCTCGCCACCACGTTGTCTCTGATGCCACTGCCCTCTGCTAGCTGATTTGTCCCTTTCTTCGTGTTCCCAGCTCAATACTGAAAAGCAGGCAAAAAAAAAAAAAAAAAAAAAAAAAAAAAAGCCAGCCCCCCCCCAGAAGAGGCCTTTTATTCACCCCCCTCTTCTAACACCAGGGAAGGTGGCCTAGGGGACTGGCCTGTCTCCTGGCTGACCCACCAGGTGAGCTGAGTAGCATGCTTCCTTTGCTCACAGGGACATTTGCACCAAGCACAGCTTTGCCCCTTCAGCACCAGCCAATGACTGTTGCCACCAGAGGAAGGAAGCACTTCCTCTCCAGCACAGAGTCATGGAGAATTCAGAGATTTGTGATAGGGAAAAGTCTGGTAAAAACCAAAAGCTTTGGCTAAAGCTTCCCCTCCAGGGGCCAGAACCACAAATCCAAGGAGTACTGACATGAGCTTAGTCTGGCTGGCTCGCTTGAGTGACAGCCCTTTTGCTCAAGGAAGCCTCGGCAGCAAGAGAGCCAAATGTCAAATAGCTTCTGAGCGGGGAGCCAAACTACCTGATCCTCAGATATCTTTGCTTAATTGCAAGAAAATGAACAGCAGAAAGAGCACTTACAGTAAGAAAGCAAGTAATTTATCATAACAATATGGCTATAATTTTTTTTTAAGATTTACGTTACATTTATGTGTGAGTGTTCTGTTTGCTTGTATATCTGTGCACCATGTGTGTCCCTGGTAGGTGTCATTAAAGAGGCTAGAAGATGGCATCAGATCCTTTGAGACAGGAGTTCTGATGGTTGTGAGCCGCCATGTGGGTGCTGGGAATCAAACCCAGGTCCTCCGGAAGAGCAGCCAGTGCTCTTAACTGCCCCGGCCAGCAGGGTCAGTCGACGGGGACCCTGAGGGAGGAAGTGAGAATTACGAGACAAGAGATGGAGACAAGACAGTGTTCTGATCAAGTCTCCTTTAATGAATATAACCACAGGGCTTCAGTAGTGGAGAAATAGGCCAAAGTAGAGGGAATGGGCCAAGGGGGAATGTGGAAGATGTAAGGGAGGCAGAGTGTCCTTCCAAACAGGATGCAGGTGTTCCGCTGTAAGATGAGTTGCTATACGGTAAGCCTGCAGCTGGGACTCTTTCAGGGTCAGGCTGCATGCTTAACAGGAGAACAGTCATAGGGGAATGGAAAATTGCCAGCATGTTAGTATCTAGGAGAGTAGTAGGAAGGATGGCTGTTAAGATGCTAACTCTGCTCTGGGGTTCCCCACACTTAACCACTGAGCCATTTCTCCAGCCCCAGTGTATAACAGCTGGTCAGTGCCCCAAGAAGAGATGTGCCCTCCCCTCTGTCCCATAACACAAAGAGGAGATTTGTGTTAGAGCCGCTGCTCGTTCCTTCCGCTTCCTCCTCCGCGTGTGCGTGTGTGTGTGCGTGTGCGTGTGTGTGTGCGTGTGTGTGCGTGCGTGCGTGCGTGCGTGTGTGTGCATGCGTGCGTGTGTGTGCGTGTGTGTGTGCGTGCGTGCGTGCGTGTGTGTGCATGCGTGCGTGTGTGTGTGCGTGTCTGTGTGTGTGTGTGTGTGCGTGCGTGCGTGCGTGCGTGCGTGCGTGCGTGCGTGTGTGTGTGTGTGTGTGTGCTCAAACCCTGCCTCATTTGTAGAACTGAGAAGACGTTGAGAGCAATACCCTCACTGTACTCCCCTGAGCAACAGTAATGAAAGCAAATGTGTGGGTGGCACTGACCACAGACCTGTCTGATGTACATATATGCATTCCACAGAGACAGAATAGTATATCACCGGACGGTGATGGCGCACACCTTTAATCCCAGCACTCAGGAGGCAGAGGTAGGCAGATCTCTGTGAGTTCGAGACCAGCTTGGTCTACATTAGCTAGTTCCAGGACAGGCTCCAAAGCCACAGAGAAACCCTGTCTCGAAACACCAGAGAGAGAGAGAGAGAGAGAGAGAGAGAGAGAGAGAGAGAGAGAGAGAGAGAGAACCGTATATAACCGTGCTCATATAGCACATATATAATGAAACATCACCGTATACCTGCGTATCACTTAGCTTTAACAATAATTGTCTTTGTCCCCATCCTGCCTCACCATTGCCCTGTTATGGAGCAGCCTGGGTTATTGAAAAGGTGTCTCTTAGCTTTCACCTGTACTTTACACGTTCTATTAACTCCGTTGTGCTGTCTTAGTTCTGGCCCATTGTTATCTACGGTTTGCAAATGAGGAAAGCGAGACAAAGACATTAAGTCGTGTTGTCCAGAGTTTGGAAAGAGCAAGCTGCACCAGAGACTTTGCTCTGCTTCCTCTGCTGCTGCTGCTGCTGTCTTGATGGCCTTGGTGTGTGGCTAAGTGACTGGTTTCAGACTCTCACAATCCTCTTGCCTCAGCCTCCCTAGTGATAGGATAATGGCAACCAGCACTATGCCTGGCCCGCTTTGTTTCCATTGACTATTGAACTATACTTCTCCTAAGCAGTGCATACTTCAGCATGAGTGGGTGAACGTGAACAAAGTGAATGAAGAAATGAGTGGCTCAGGCCTCGACGCCACGCTGGGCCTCAGTTTCACTGGCAATGGACCACACTGCAGAGAGTTGCCATTTTGTGTACCCCAGTTCTCTCTGGGCCCGAACATTAGAGGTGGCAGGGTCGGCACCGCCCTCTGGCTACTGATGGCATGCTCTCTGTCCCCACAGCCAGAGGAGTCCGTTCTCATTGGAAATTGCCAGCAGCAGTGTGTGTGCCATGCAGGAGAAGGCATGGTGTGTAAGGAGCACAGCTGTAAGCCAGGACAGGTGTGCGAGCCCTCAGGAGGTGTCCTGGCCTGCATCACCAAAGGTACTGGGCAGCGCGGCTGGGCTGGTGTGGGGAGACACAGGACAGGGGCTAGGAGCTGAGGGCGCCATAATGTAATGGTGGGAGGTGCAGGGGGATTGAGGTGTCAGACCTTGGGCTGGGATTCCAGGAGCCAAGCACAGAGGTCATCCAGTCTGGGTGTCAAGGAACCTTAAGGGATTTGGGGCTTCGGGAAGCTCAGGGCAAGACTTTGAGGGTGCATGTCAGAGGCCCTGGGAAGGCTGCAGGGCTGGTGAGCTTTTTCTCTTTAATGCACAATGGTAATTACTTAAGTTTGCAAGCCACGTGGCCTGGAGCACAACTGCTCACTGCAACCCAGCTTCATTTACAACCACAAACACCAGAAGGTCCTATGCCTCCTTGGCCACTGACTCATTGGATTACACATGGGACTTCCAACACCAGCATCGAGAGTCAGGGGCACTGGGAAATGACAGCTCTGCATTTCTAATGTCATTGATCCCAGGGCAGAGTCAGAGACAAAGTAAAGAAAGAGCCTTGACTACGGGGTCCCCTTCAAGCAGAGGTTCATGTCTCATGTCTCAGAAGGGGCACCACTCATCCAAACTTGGGGACCCAATTTTAACCTCACACCACTTTCCTGGACGGCAACCCTCTCCTGCAATGCGTAAAGAATAATCCCAGAGCTGAGGACTGAGCTGAGACACTCAGAGATGAGGAGGAGGATTTCAGAGTCACTGAGGAATGGGTTACATTGATCAGGGTCACAACAGAAGAAAGCTTAACGGGGGCGAGTGACTTATGTGTTTGGGGATGTGGCTCGGCGCTTGCCTGGGCATGCGCAGCACCCTAAGTGCGGTCGGTCATAGCGCTAAAGCCGGGGAAAGGTGCTACCAGCGTACCAGCGCACACAGAAGATACGTGGAGTGGCACTCTAAGAGCTTCCTTCATCACAAAGGAAGGCCAGGATTGGGAAGTGCCACGCCCTAAGCCTGCCTCCAACCTCACTAGAGAAGATACCCCTGCAGCCACTGCACCAGAGGATCCTGCAGGCTGAGGTTGCAGGAGGGAACAACCCCCTCATGCCTTCAAGTGCTGGAGAAACTCAGCTGGCAGCAGCCACCTAGGGTGTCTAGGTGAGCTGTTAGAGAGCCAGTGACTCACCTGTCACAGGCCCCACAGCACAGCAGCTGCTGGAAGAGCAGAGCAGGTTGTGAGGACAGACAGGACCACAAGCAGACACAGGGACAGACAGACAGACAGACACGCACGCACACACACGCGGGTGCATGCACAGACTTCCCAGCACCTTCTGCTCACAAAACTCCCAGGCTGATTTCAAACAGGAAACAAGACAGGGGATCAAGTTCAAAGGCTGAATGCCTAGACCCAGAGTGTATGTGGGTCCCATGCCTGGAGACATGGATATAGTGAATGCCTAGACCCAGAGTGTAGGTGGGTCCCATGCCTGGAGACATGGATATAGTGAATGCCTGGACCCAGAGTGTAGGTGGGTCCCATGCCTGGAGACATGGATATAGTGAATGCCTGGACCCAGAGTGTATGTGGGTCCCATGCCTGGAGACATGTTTATAGTGACACTAACACAGAGCCTTGGACATGGATGCTTTCCAAAATAAGCCTCAGTAATGAGACTCCTAAGGCAGAAGCCGCCACCACCCACGAACAGAGCTCGCACCCCAGGCCGTGAGATTTAGACTGGGGGCTGAGTCAAAGTGTGGATTGTTGGGGACACAGACACAGAAATCTCAATCAGAAAATCCCAGGACTAAGGTCTTGAGCCTAAGGTCAGAGAGCTAGAGTCAGAAGGTGTTGGGTCCCCTGGAACTGAAGTTACTGATGGCTGTGAGCCTCCGTGTGGGTGCTATGAGTCAAACCCGGGTCTCCTGCAAGAGCTACAAGTGCTCTCAGCTGCTGAGCCATCTCCAACTTTTCCCACAGCAACCCTAAGACCTAGGACCTAGGTGTCAGCACTGTTACTGGGAATCAGGTCTGTCTCCCCGTGGCAACATTCAGAACCAATATTCCTGGTGACTTCTGAGTTAGATTCTGGGAGCAGGAATGCTGTGCTGGGCAGCCCCTCAAGAACACATCTCCTGTTTCCACAGACCTATGCCAAGGTGTTACCTGTCGGTCACAGGAAACATGTACAGAGAAAGGTGGTAAGGGTGTGTGCGTACCCAATTATGATGCCAAATGCTGGGTGTGGGGAGACCCGCACTATTATTCCTTCGATGGCTTGAACACTAACTTCCACGGGACCTGTAGCTACCTGCTAACGGGGAGTGTGTGTCCTGGGCTCAGCAATGACGGGCTGACCCCCTTCACGGTCGTCACCAAGCATGAGAGCCAGGGCAATCCTTCTGTGTCCAATGTGAAGAGAGTCACTGTGGTTGTCTACAACACCAGCATCGACATCCTCAAGAAGGGGATTGGCAGAATCCAGGTACGTTCAGTAGGACGGACACTCAAGCACCCAAAGGAGGCCAGATTTGGACTCTCCACCAATCAAGAGCTCTAAAAAATAGATTCTGATGCGAGGTGCTGTTCCCAAGAGCTGGTGCTGACCATAATATCAGTCAGGAGGAACCCCTTGGCAGAAGGAGGGAGGGAACAAGATGGCAGAGACCACAGTACCAGTGCACTGTTCTGTCCCTTGTGCCATCCGCCTCCCTCTCTCCCCAGGTGAATGGAATCCTGATGGCCTTGCCTGTCTACCTGGCTGGTGGGCGGATTTCGGTCATTCATGGAGGCTCCAAGGCTGTGCTGGTGACTGACTTCGGGCTTCGGATCACCTACGACTGGAACTGGAGAGTACATGTCGTACTACCCAGTAGCTACCATGGTGCAGTGTGTGGGCTCTGTGGAAACATGGACAGAAACCCCCAAAATGACCAAGTCTTCCCTAACGGCACAGCGGCTCCCTCCGCACCCACCTGGGGTGGCAGCTGGCAGACTCCAGGGTGGGACCCTCTTTGCTGGAATGAATGCCGGGGCTCCTGCCCAGTGTGCCCAGAGGACCGACTGGAGGAGTATGAGGGTCCCGGCTACTGTGGACCTCTGGCTCCTGACACAGTGGGCCCCTTCGCCAGCTGCCACGCCCATGTACCTCCTGAGAGCTTCTTCAAGGGCTGTGTGCAGGACATCTGCCTGGGTGGTCAAGTCAAGGACATACTATGCCAGGCACTGACTTCTTATGCCGAGGCCTGCCAGGCTGCTGGCATCCAAATCAAGGACTGGAGGACTCAGGCTGGCTGTGGTGAGTGGTGGGGATCAGGGCAAGCTCTGGGTGGCCCTACTCCCATACTTGCGGTCTTTCTGCTGTCTGTGTCTGTGTGCGTGGGTCCCCAGGTCATCGTCTCTCTGTCTGTCTCTCATGCCATCTCTCTCCATTGTCTCAGCTTCCCTCCCTGACTGTGTCTCCGCATCTGTAAAGTCTCCCCTTCCCCTCCTGTCCCTGCTGGTGTTTCTGCCCACTCTGCCCCCAGAGGCCACTCTAACGCCATCCTTCATCTCTCTCCTTCCCTTCCTCCACCCACAGAGATCTCCTGCCCTGACCACAGCCACTTTGAGCTCTGCGGCCCACCCTGCCCAGCCAGCTGCCCACCCCCTTCACGCCACACAACCCCAGCTGCATGCGATGGGCCCTGTGTGGAGGGCTGCCAGTGTGACCAGGGCTTCGTGTTGAGTGCTGAGCAGTGCGTTCCCCTAGATGGCGGCTGCGGCTGCTGGGTCAACGGCACATACCATGAAGCAGGCACTGAGTTTTGGACTGATGCCACCTGCTCTAAGAGGTGCCACTGTGGACCTGGAGGTGACTCCTTGGTCTGCATGTCTACCAGTTGCAGACCAGATGAGGAGTGTGCCTTGTTGCCCTCTGGCCAGATCGGCTGCCAACCTACAAGCACAGCTGAGTGCCTGATCTTGGGTGATCCCCGTTACATCACCCTAGATGGGTACCAGTTTGACTTCCAAGGCACCTGCGAGTACCTGTTGAGTGCACCCTGCCATGCACCACCCGTAGAGACCGAATACTTCAAAGTCACTGTGACTAATGAGCACAGGGGCAGCCAGGCTGTCAGTTACTTCCGACGTGTCACCCTGAATATCTATGGCTTCAACCTGACCCTCAGTGCCCAGTGGCCAAGACAGCTACAGGTGAGTGGGCTGTGGCTCATGAAGCCTCTGCTGTACAGGAGAGAATGAGGGATGGACCATTCTCTGAAGCACCTTTCCCAGTGTGGCAGGACCATGATATGATGCTGGGTTCAGCCTACAGCCTGTGGGACCAGGCAGGCTAGAAACAGACTCAGCCTTCCATTCTGGGCTGCAGGAAGCACCTACTTCACCGCAGATTAAAGAGCAAATTCCACATGGTGTAGATTGAATTAGAACCTTATACAGCCGCTCCACTCACTCCTCCCTCCCACATCCACAGGTGAATAGAGAGGTGATCATGCTGCCTTTCCAGCTGGACTCGCGACTGCTCGCTCACCTGAGCGGCACAGGCTTGGTGATAAACAGCAACTTCGGGCTCTCCCTGGCTTTTGACAACAGTTTCCTGCGCCTGCGCGTGCCCGCAGCCTATGCAGGCGCCCTCTGTGGCCTGTGCGGGAACTACAACAAAAATCCCAAAGATGACCTGGCTTCAGTAGATGGGAAACCTGAGGGCTGGAAGGTGGGCGGAGCCCCGGGCTGTGACCAGTGTGTGACTGGGATTTGCCCACAGCCCTGTACACCTGAGCAACAGGAACCCTTCCGTGGCCCCGACGCCTGCGGCATCATCTCGGCCCCCGAAGGCCCGCTAGCGCCCTGCCACAGCCTCGTGCCACCCGCGCAGTACTTCGAGTCATGCTTGCTGGATGCCTGTCAGGTTCAGGGACATCCAGCAGGTCTCTGTCCTGCCCTGGCCACCTATGTGGCAGCTTGTCAGGATGTTAGGGCCCAACTTGGAGAGTGGAGGAAGCCAGACTTCTGTCGTGAGTACTTGCCCCGTGCAGCTCCACACAGACAGGGTCTCCCCCAGCCCTTTCCAGGAGCTCTGTTACTTGACCTCAAGGTCCATCCCCACCACGTGCTGTCAGAGATACACCCAGTACTAATAATGAAAACCACCAGTGGGGTAGGGAAGGACCCAGTTACACACCCAAAGTCAGAAAGCCTGGGTGCACACACTCTGGGAGGTTCTGCTAGCAGACTTGAATATGATAGTGTCAGTTACTCTGCAAGAAACCCATCAGCCAAGTGACTGATACCGGGTCAGAGGTCCCTGGAGCATCTCCCACACTGGACTATAACTGCACACATGGAGATGTTCAGATAGCCAAATGGTGTCTGGAGAGACCATACACCGCCTGTCACACATTGGTGAGACATCAGATACCCTCAGCTGGAATCTGGACCTGTCCCAGGCAGATCCAAGCAGACTGGATCAGGAGGTGTGGGGCAGCAGATCTGCTGGGTTAGGCCCACCCCACCCCAATCACAAACACCCTGGCAGAGTTGCACCCTGAGACGGAGGGTGTCCGAGGGAACAGTGGGCGTTCCTGTCATGTTAACACGGTCTTCACTCTCTTCAATCAGGCTGACTGATCTCCCACACATGGGTGCCTGGTCACACACACACCCCGATATAGCCATGGCCAGTTCTAGTCTGCTCTGATCAGATGCATGTGGTCATATACCCCAGACAGTCACTTAGAAGTACTCGTCAGGATGACACACCCTTCTCAGGGAGACCTGGTCTCACCCCCACCCCTGAGACTCCAAATCAGTGCCCCTGTTATGCGTTCTACATCAAGTCCCATGCCAAGCCAGGGGCACTGGGAAATCTCAAGCGGGCTCCTACCCACAAGCCTTTCTGCTCTTCCCTTTGCCTCTGCCTGACTCTTCCTTGTTCTGTCCCCACAGCCCTCCAGTGTCCTGCCAACAGTCACTATGAGCTCTGTGGTGACTCCTGCCCTGTGAGCTGCCCAAGCCTCTCGGCCCCCAAGGGCTGTGAAACCACCTGCCGTGAGGGCTGTGTCTGTGACCCTGGCTTTGTGCTCAGTGGTGACACCTGTGTGCCTGTGGGCCAGTGTGGCTGCCTCTACAATGGACGCTACTACCAGCTAGGCATTACATTCTACCCAGGCCCTGAGTGTGAGTGGCTCTGTGAGTGTGGGCCAAACGGGCAGGTCACCTGCCAGATTGAGTCCTGTGGCATCCATGAGGAGTGCCAATTAGTGGATGGCATCCGTGCCTGCTATGCCAAGAGTTCTAAATTAATGCTGGTCCTTGACGGCATTCATTACGCCACACCTGATGGATTGGTGTATGACCTTCACGGCTCCTGCTCCTACATCTTGGCACAAGTTTGTCACCCGAAACCTGGAGATGAGGAGTTTTCCATTGTGCTGGAGAAGAACTTGGCGGGTGAACCCCAGCGAGTGGTGGTTACCGTGTCAGGACAGGTTGTGGTCCTGGCTCAAGGGCCGCAGGTGAGTGGACACAACCCTGCCCAAGGTCCTGATAAAGACACAGGCCCACATACGGGTCCTCTGGAGTCATGCTCCTGCTTTGGAGCGTCTTAGAGGACGTTCACCAACTTGAGAGTCCTGAGAACACCATCGAACATGGTGTTTGAGGAAGTCAGGGTCCACCCTGAAAGCTACTGGAGACATGGCTCCATCCCTACCCTGGGAGCCTAAATTGGCCTCACTCCACTCAACTAAAATGTACCTAGCCATCCATGAGGATCTAACAGAGATGAGATTCTATGGCAGAGCAATCAGGGCCTTCTGTAATGATGTACTCTTACCCCCAACCTGATTGACCCTTCCATCCAGGTGACTGTGGACGGCGAAGCTGTGGCCCTGCCTGTGGCTGTCAGCTCCTTGTATATAAGTGTTGAGAGCCGAAACATGCTCCTGCAGACGAAAAGGGGGCTGAAGATGCTCTTTGATGGTGATAACCACATCCTCATTGCCATCCCCAGTCCCTTCCATGGACGTATCTGTGGCCTCTGTGGCAACTTCAATGGGAACCAAAGAGACGACTTTGTGCTGCCCAATGGAGCCATAGCCCCCAACGTGGAGGCCTTTGGAGCTGCATGGCGAGCTCCCGGCTCCTTGCTAGGCTGTGGTGAAGGCTGTGGGCCCCAAGGCTGCCCTGTGTGCTTGGCAGAGAAGAGAAAGGCATATGAGAAAAACGAAGCTTGTGGACTGATCTGGAACCCCCAAGGCCCCTTCGCAGCCTGCCACCAGGTTCTAAATGCCACAGAATACTTCCACCAATGTGTATTTGACATGTGCGCCCATACGGGCAACAAAGTATACCTGTGCCGTAGCCTGGCAGCCTACACTGCAGCCTGTCAGGCAGCTGGTGCAACCGTGAAACCCTGGAGGACAGAAAGCTTCTGCCGTGAGTGTCTGGGGACCCCTCTTGGGACCTCCTGGGACCTGGGGAAATCCTGCCTGTGACAGGGCCTCCCCCCAGCCCTGCCCTGGCATCTGCTGTGGCATTCCCACGTCACTTGTGGCTCGGGGGTCTCAGATTCCAGTCAAGAGTCCACTCCCCCAGACCTCACGCCCACCCCTTCCCAGGGCTGCTCCCAGCTTTCTGTGGTGATCTGGACGGATTGAGAGCCCATGAGAGTCCTGAGCTGACCCCTCCCTCACACCGGGTAGCCTCTCATGTGTTCAGACCAAGGCCACAGGCAATCCCCAATCCAAGACAATGAACCTCTTTCCAAATTACAGGGTAGGAACAGGTCCCCTCGGATGCCCCATGGTCGCTGGCGCTCCAGTGAAGGGTCACTTCTCCCTCCTTGGCAGGATCTAGACCCCGACCGTCATCTACCCCACAGCATTGCAACAGTCCGGGTTTGGCTGCAGACACTCTCTAGCCCAGACAGTAGGCCAGGCCCACGTTACCCTGTGCTCTCTGGACATGTGCCCTGGGAGGTCCTAAACATCTCTGCACCCGCTGCATTTCACCCCCAGCCTGATCCTTCTCTTCTGCCCCAGTGACCCTCTGATGACAGTCACACGGGTCCGCAACACTTATTGGCGCCCAGCGCCTTACCTTTGATATCTCTGTGCCTCTCACACATCCTTGTCTCTCGCTCGAACCCATTCGTGTACCATCCCAGTCCTTTGCTTGCTCTTCCTGTCTCCACCAGAGACTCTGCCTGGCCCCTCCCCGTCCCAATTCAGCACTGTCAGAGCCTCCCAACGCCGCTTGAGTCTTCTGCTCCACCTCTCCATCCCATCTCGACAATCTGCTTGCCCACTCTATCCCACCGCACCCTCTTCTCGGGTCTCCTCTTCTGTCCCCACTCTCTTCCTGTACCTCCACGCCCCACCCCTGCCTTATGGCTGATCCTGAATCCACGCCCAAGCTTCCCCCATGCCTTTCCATCCTGGCCCGGCATTTCATTTTCCAGTCCTGACTCGGTCTCAGACCCCTCTTAACTATTCTCCCACAGTGCAACAGGGCGGCTTTAGCCGTCTATAAACCTGGATATGAGCTTCGTAAGACAGGGCTGAGGATGCCTTCAGTATTCACATCTTCAGCACCGTCCTGACCAGGGACAGGAGGTCAGTTAATCAGTGTCCTGCAGCAGGGGTGACCACCTCTACCTCCTCTCCCCACAGCTCTCCAGTGTCCTGCGCACAGCCACTACTCTGTCTGCACAGGCTCCTGCCAGGACTCTTGTGCTGCGCTCTCTGGCCTCACCCAATGCACCACTCAGTGCTTTGAAGGCTGTGAGTGTGATGATCACTTCCTGCTCTCCCAGGGTGTGTGCATCCCTGCCCACGACTGCGGCTGCACCTTCAATGGCCAGTACATGCCGGTGAGCAGGGACTCCAGCGGGCAGCAGGGGTGGAGGAGCTGGAGGGACATTCGGAGCCCCTGTGCTCTGGGTTTCTGTTCAAGGACTGGGACACAGGGGGCCACCACCTGTTCCCAGCTGTGCTGGCTGTACTGAGTCACCCCACACTGGCCAGGGCTCATCCACTGATGCCACGCCCACTCTACCACCTCTTTGGGAGTATGTGCCTGTTAGTTCCTTTAAACCATTGCGTTTTTGTCGTTTTGGTTTTTCGAGACAGCGTTTCTGTCTGTATCTTTGGATCCAGTCCTGGAACTTGCTCTGTAGGCCAGGCTAAACCATTTGAGACTCTCTTGCAAACATGGTGGCTCCTTTACCCCTGAGTCAGTTTGCATGGTTGCTGGGAGAATACGAAAACCAATCACGTGACAGATGATAATGAGCAAAACCAGGAACTTCCCAGTTGTTCAATACCATTATCGGTTGACTTCACCCATTATTTCAATACAAGCATCTGTTGTCATTTCTCTCTCTGGCCCAGGGCCCCTGAGGAAGCAGAATCTGATGACCTCCTCCAAGGAGGGAAAGGCAAGAATAAGATTTAAGGACAGAGCCCAGGGCAAGGGGTTAATGGTCTTGGTTCGGGAGGTGGGGGGAGGGAAGGGGGGAATCAGGCCATTGCTTCCCACCCATGGCTTCCAGGACTCGGAAATGTCCCTAGCACCCACCGTACCTCCTCCAGTCAGGTTTTCCTGTGTTGTAATAATAAATATCTTCATGGGATTAATGTTACTCTATCACTACAAAATGTAATAGATTCAAGCAATGACCCCTTTTATGTTTCTAATCCTGTGACTCCAGCTTGGGACCCCTCTGAGCTTATTTGTCACCTAACAAGACAGCGGAGGGTGATGCTGTAGGCCACTAGCTCTTTGTTACCATAAGACAATACCTGGAGAGGGCTGCTTTATGGAGATCAGAAGTCCAAAGATCGTGGTGCAGGCTCTGGGGAGGCCCCTGACTGCATATTCTCAACATGGAAGCAGCTGTATGTCCCTTTCCACATGCAGTCTCTCCTTAAAAAGCCGGAAGACCTTCTCCACAGATACTCCATTTTAGAGACTGCAGCGATGCAGTCAGCTTCCCGGGGCCACACATCTTCTGTTTCTTCCTTAGAGTCAAGGACTGCAATAACACACTACCATCACTTCATCCCGAGTACCCTTCTCACTCAGCATTACCAGGGAGGATGGGCTCTTTCTTTACATGACTTAGCCATGTGTATTGTGCTTACAGAGTTGTCTCACTGGTTTCTGGGCCTCAATCTGCACACCAAACTTCTGGCAAACCAGTAACAAACACAAAAGAATTTTCGTGTTTGAGACAGGGTCTTCCCATGCAGTCTTGACTATCCTGGAGCTCGCTATACAAACCAGGCTCCTCCTGCCTCTGCCTCCTGAGTGCTGGGATTAAAGGCGGGTGGCCCAATGCCCAGCCCCAGTCATTAGTATTTCAGACTAATAGGATGAATTAAAACCTACCCAGCCCCCTGGTGGCTGGTTTTGCTTACGATAAACATCGCCCCTGCTTTGGTTTTGTTCCAAGTGGTTCCGTGCCTCACTAATAATTATTATGGCCTAGATCCCCTTGCCATGATCACATGCCATAGGCCAATACTAGTTTTTCAAGAGCTTCTGAGATCATTCACACTTTCCCAACATAATCACAGTCCCGGCTTCTAAACTCCATAGCTGGATGAGGTCTCCACCCTGTTCATGCCATTAATATCAAGCCTTGAGGATTTAAGCCCTGCAGGGTTCGGGGAACAAGTCATATTCAAGCCATGGCAAGTGGCCTGAGCAGAGACCATTGTTTGTACCGTGTGGAGACTCATCCTCCAATGGACCAGCCCAGGCTTCTTATCACAGTAACGGCACAATCTGAGACAGGGTGGTGATGGCGTGGACTGTCAAGGCTCTTGGGTTCAAACATGAGCTTGGCACAGCCTGGCCTCTGCTAGGCTTCATTGACAAATCCATCTGAGGGTTATTGAGACTCTACCATGGGGTGGAGGACACACCCTTTATTACCAGGAGCTTCTACAGGCTCCCCGTGTGAATGCACACCATCCACCCCTTTCCATGCACAGGTGAACACCTCACTGATGACCTCAGACTGCATTAAACGCTGTTTCTGCTCCCCAAGCACCGGACTGACATGCCGCGCAGCTGGCTGCCCATCTGGCCGAGTCTGCGAGATCCGAGCAGGAGTCCGGGATTGTTGGCCAGCCAAAGGTCTCTGCTCCCTCTCTGTGGGGGGCAACTTCACCACCTTCGATGGGGCTCACAATGTCATCAGCTCCCCTGGTGCCTATGAGCTTTCTTCTCGCTGCCCGGGACTCCAGAAGACTCTGCCCTGGTACCGTGTGGTTGCTGATGTCCAGCCTTGCGGTGGCAATGACAAGGTCTTGAGCAAGGTCCACATCTTCTTCCAGGATGGAATTGTGACAGTGATCCAAAGCAAGGGCGTGTGGGTAAGCCTGGGCACAGCGGGCATGGATGTCTTCCCTGGGCTTTCCTTCTTCCTGTCACGGTGGCCTACATCCTGGCTACCCAATGGCCTTGCAGTCTGTTTCCTTCATCCAGATCTCTGGGCTGTTTCTGGATTTGTACCTACCTATACAGGCTTTTTCTGGATTTGTACCTACCTGCACAGGCTTTTTCTGGATTCATACCCACCTGCACAGGCTTTTTCTGGATTTGTACCTGCCTCTACAGGCCAGCCCAGGTCCTTCTCCTTAGCCTGAGTTCTTACATTCAAGTAACAGCACAGCTTTGCTATTGGTCTTAACGAAGCTGCTATTGAATACAAACAGCCTTAAAGGAAAATGAATGGACTGGCTCCCTAGCTGGGGAACCCAGAGATGGCCTCAGCACCCCAACTACACTGTCAGGAGCTTCCACCTCTAGGTTTCAGACTTGTCCCCGAAGTCAATGTCTATTTCTTCTTCTTCTTCTTCTTCTTTTTTTTTTTTTTTTATTTTTTTTAAGACCAGATGTATGTATGTGTCTGTGTAGCCCTGGCTGTCCTGAAATTCACTCTGTAGAAGAGACGAGCCTTAAACTCACAGAGATCCACCCTTGTCTACCTCCTGAGTGTTGGGTTTAAAGAGGAGAGTCCCTGTGCCTGGCTTGCAACTTCATTCCTAGACAGTTTTGTTTTCATGGATGGAAGTGCCAGCTGCACCAGCGTGGCCACCTCAGCAGAAACTGACCCAGCTCAAGCTCCGGGACTGCACCTCACTGAGCTGGCCTGGACTGCCTGCCACTGCTTGTCTTGATAGTGGAATACTATGATTTGCCAAGCGGGCATCACATGAAGCGCTGGGATTCCCCAAGTCAATCTCCAGGTTCTATGATCCCCTCTGAGAGCCCAGTATGTGCTTGTACTGATCGCTGAGAATAATTACAATGAGCGGATGCGAGGAAATAGAAAGGGTACAGCAGGAGAGGCGTCAAACAGGACGTGCTACGTCGTTTTTTCACTGGGAAAAGTAGAACCTGAAGAGTGATTTGCTCAGGTGCTTGCTTATCCATCTGATCCAAGCTCTTCCCCTGGCTTCAGAACACTGTGAGGACCCATTGATCCATCCCCCCCGTCCGCTGACAACTTCAACGCTAAACAAAAAGATTCTGAAATTATTAGTAAGTTAATTTGGGAGTCACACTGCATGCACAGAGTCATAAGCATGCACAGTGAGCTGTGCGTAAGCAGTCGTTTCCTGTCCCAAATACGCAGCAGCCACTTCCCAAATGACCGCACAGAGGCTTATCTTACTTATAAGCCCAGTCAATAGCTCAGGCTTGTTACCAGCTAACTCTCACACTTACCAATGTTTAGCTGTGACTTGGTACAGCATTCTCAGGACAGCGCTCTCCTCTTGCTCCTGTTTGCCAGCGGCTCTCCTCCCTTCCTCCTCTCAGAATTCTGCTAGTGTGGCTTCCTCGATCAATCCACAGCATCTCCAGCTGTCTTCCCACCTGTGCACCTTCTGTAATACCCTCCTCTCCAGGGCCCGCCCCTTTGTTTGAATTGCTATTGTGCACGAGGACTCCAGCCTTGGTGGTCCCTCAGCTCTTCTGTCACTCAAGTCTCTCTTCTTCATTCCCCCTCCCCCTACACCAGGTGAACGGTCTCCGAGTGGACCTCCCAGCTACTGTGTTAACCTCTGTGTCTGTGCGGAGGATGCCCGATGGCTCCGTGCTTGTCCACCAGAAGGCGGGGGTCCAGGTCTGGCTTGGAACAGACGGGCAGCTAAATGTGATGGTCGGTGATGGCCATGCAGGCATGGTGTGTGGGGCCTGTGGAAACTTCGATGGGTACCAGAATAATGATGTGCATAAATCTCAGGGGAAGACACCGATGGAGAGGTGGAGAGCACCGGACTTCTCCCCATGGTGAGGATAGAGAATTGGGGACTGGGGAAAGAGGCAGTGTGGGTGGTGCTTAGCCTGCAGGATGAGTTGCTAAGTGTCTGTCTCTTGCAGTTCCAACTGATCGGTCATCGCTGACAAAGGACACTTCAAGACCTGCCTCTTCCAGAAGTTACAGTGATTGAAGGATGCCCTGTGTGTCTCTTCCCTGCCCCTCCCCTTTGCTGAGCCACCGAGGCCAAATCTGAAAGCATCGAGTAAATACCTAGACCCAAGTTGTGCGTCTGCCTCCTGCTGTCTCCCCCAGCGTCGTCCCCACCGAGGGAGACATGGATGGTGGTGCGTCTCTATCAGGGGAGGACGGGTGGCTGCACGTGTGGGTGCACGAGCAGATGAAGAAGCAGAGGGGCGGCCAGAGTCGGGGAAGGATTGGGAGACTGGGAGTCACAGAGAAAGGTGACTGGAGGGGTGCATGGATGAAACCACGGATGACCCCCCCCCCCCCGCACTGGCGCTCAGGGTACAGCACAGAAGAGGAGACAGGAAGAGCGTTAAGAGCAGGAGGAGGGGAAGAGGGGCTGTAGAGCAAGCACAGTGAGTTCCACACCATCGAGGGCTACAGTGGCACCCTGTTAAAAATAAAAAATTAGAGTAAAACATTCTAATACAATACAATCCAGAGATATACCAACTTGATATTTATATGCTGAGGACTTACAGCAGGAAAATATTAAAAGTTCCATCGTTACATTTCTGTAAGAACATGAAAGCTACATGTACCCTTGGGTAGGGTTTTTATTGCAGGGGGAAACACCACGACCAAAAGCAACTTTGGGAGGGAAAAAGTTTATTTCACTCATAATTCCACACAACAGTTCATCATCTAAAGCAGTTAAGACAGGGCTCCAGAGGCAGGCGCTGATGCAGAGGCCACAGAGGAGCGCTGCCTACTGTCTTACTCTTCACGGATAGCTCAGCCTGCCCTCCCCTCCACACCAAAAAAAGACAGGAAAGCAGGAGCGGGTGCTATGGGAAAAATAAACGGGTCACCAGGAATGGGGAGGAGATGAGGCCAAACAATACACGTTTTGCACGTTGGAACTGTCAAACGTGTTTAAAATTCCGATGGATACACCACACAGAAATTCATTAAATTATCTGAATGGGCAAACTATGTGACCTATTTATCAATAAAGATTTTAAATTAAATAATTAGGAGCTTGGGAGACATCTCATCAGGTTAAGAGATCTTGCTGAGCAAACATGAGGACTTGGGTTCAAATCCCAGCGAATATGTTAAAAACAAAACTGAGTGGTCATCTACATGCCTGGAACCCAGGCTAGGATGGTGGTGAGAGGCTTTTGGAGACTCCCTGGTCACCAGCCTAGCTCCAGGTTCAGCGAAGAGACCCTATATCAAGAGAATAAGGCAGACGGTGACAGGGGACATCTAACATTCTCCTTGGGTCTCTGCATGCGCGCGCGCGCACACACACACACACACCTCACATGCAAGTGTTGGCTGCTTTGAATGACTACCATCCAAGCAGCCCCCTCTTGGCAGCCACTTGGTCTGCTGTCATAGCAACCTGGAAGCTTTTGGATGCTCCACAGGCACCTCCAGGAAACTTACACTACAACCACTTAATTCTGAAAGACAACTCCCGCTGGAGCAGGTGCTATTCTAGCCCTGACTGTTGCCTATTTACACGGACTTTATGCCAGCAGAAGCCATTTCACCCAGGCCAGAGGGTAAAATCTTTCCCTGATAAGCAACAAAAAGTGTGGGGTTGGTGCAAATGGTCCTTTTCATAGCCTGGAAGGCTCTGCTGCCTTGTGGCTCTTTGGGACTACTTCCCTCGAGACCGGGTGGCTCCTGTGCTGCCCCCTGGTGGTGCAACATTAACACTGGACCTTCAGCAACTCCTCTGCTTGTCTGATCTTCAGAGTGGACACTGACCAGCGGGCAATGGATTCAGAGCAGCTGCAGCAACATTAGGGTGACTGAAGATTCCCAGAAACAGGCCAGGCAGTGAGGTGCCTCTTCTTGGTGCAAATGAGTGAAAAAAGGGAAAAGTATAGAAAAGCAAGGTACACCCTGGAGACCGTAAGAGATCTTCAGTTCCGGGCTAGCCTGGGCCTCGCTGCAAAAAACGCTACCTCAAAGTACAACATCAAGAACAGCAAACAAGGAACGCCAAGCTGTGCTGGAGAGTGAGCTCAGCTGTGAAGAGAACATACTGCTCTTGTAGAAGTCGCAGGTTCGGGTCCCACACCCACATGGCAGTTCACAACTGCCTGTATGTAACTTCAGTTCCAGGGGATCCCTTGCCCTCTTCTGACCCTGCGAGCAGAGCATGCGTGTGGTGCACAGCATGCGTGTGGTGCACAGACATACCTGCAGGCAAAAACAGTTCTTAGGATAAAATAAAAATAAGCAAACCTTTGGGGGAAAAAAGTTTTAAAAATCTAGTTTGAGTACAACCCCTGATTCTGGAGTGCTGCGGAAAAGCCGCAGCGGGTTAGCGGTTGAATTCGGCGCTGTAGGAAACAGACGGGAGCGAAGAAGCGACGAGGCGGAGTCCGCAGAGGTTCCATCCAGAATTCCCGCCCAAAGAATGCACTTCCGGGAGAGGAGGCGCTGTAAGGGGCGTGGTTACGCGCCTCCGTCACGCGCCTGTGCGTCGCCGCGCGCATGCGCTCCTTTCCACGTGCGACTCGTGGAGTCCGGGACGCCGCAGACTGCTGGAGCCGCGCGACTAGGACGCCGTGATGAAGCCAGGTAGAGGCCGCGGCGCGGGCAGAAGCGGGGCTCCAGGCGCGGCGGGCGGGGACCGTGGCTGCTCGGGGCCCGGGGAATGTGGCCGGTGGCTCGGTTCACGGAGACCGGCCTCCAGGCTCGCCGCTCCATACCGGCCGGCGCGGCCCTCTGACCCCGGCCCAGAGCTGGGGCTCGGGGCGCTCTCCGCGCTTGGCTTGGGTCGTAGATGGGACGGCTCCGGGCCTGAGCCAGGAGCCCCTCTTCCCTTCAAGCCTTCCCTGTTACCGCCATCACCCACTGTCCCCCGCCGTCACTGCCACCCAGGTCCTCAACCCAGCTCCCCCGGGGGAGGATGAGGACCTCGGGGTCGGTGATGTGCGGCGCTCGCTCGCGTGCGCAGGTTTCTCGGTCGCCGCGCTTCCGGGAGGGGCGGGGTCCCAGACGGGGAGGAGTTGATGAGCTGGGGACCGGGAGCCCCTGCTCTGTGATGAGAGAACCTTCGCAAGCCTGACCTTAGCGCGGTGGGTGAATAGAAGAAGTGAGAGGGGTTGGTTTGGGTTTGAGTTTTGAGACTGCGTCTCACTGTGAGTCTGGCTGGCCTGGAACGCTCTCTGTAAACCAGGCTGACTCGAACTCAGAGACCCACCAGCTGTCTGCCTCCCGAGTGCTGGGATTAAAGGCGTGTGCACCACACGCCTGGCCTGACCCAAAAAAAAAAAAGCCTTCATTTATTTCCCGCCTTTTTCTGATGAATCCACTGCATGGTGGACGCTGGTGAGGGTTCTGGCTTTGACAGTAGAAGCATCTCATTTCTTTCTTGGATTCTTAATGGATAAATGGCTGTTTTGGTACTATATTACTCTGGGCGGTAACAGCCCATGCTTGTCAATCCCAGTACTCGGGAAGCTGAGTTTGACACCAGTCTGTGCTACAGTAATGATAACGTGAGCTTTTCACCGATGCCCAAGAACCAGTTTTAACTAATACGGGTTTTTGCCTGGTGTGTGCACACATGTTCCTGTGGACAGATTAGAGGCACTGCAGGGCATAGTGACCCATATTCCCCCTCCCAGGCATGTTGAGTATCTGGGACTCAGCCGCTTTGGAAGTCTGGTGGAGTAGGGTGGAGGGATTGTACTGCTATTCTGTGCTCTGTGATTTCTTCCCAAGAGTGCTTTTCCCACCAACCTTTCTCTGTGGAATGATAGAAGGAAAAGTTGTGGGGGGGTGACAGTTTGAGTCTTGAATGACAGCATCGGCTTTGGGGGAGTTTTGTTCGGTTTTTTGGGGGGGTTGGTTTGGTTTGGTTTGGTTCTTTGAGATGGGGTTTCTCTGTATAACCACCCCAGCTAGCTGTTCTGGTATTTGCTTTGTCAACCAGGCTGGCCTGGACTCCTTTTAAGCAGGGGTGTGCTGTAGGCTGGGGGGGGGGCATTTTTACACAAGGTCATTTGCTGTTTTTGTGTTGGTGTTTTGAAAGGGGATCTTGTATCGCCTAGGCTAACTAACCTTAAACTAACCCTCCTGCTTTAGCCTCCCAAGTGTGGGATCGTGGGCCTGTGGTGCCTCACAGCTGGAGTTGGTGGTTCTGAGGTAGGAAGGCTACTAGAGGGGAGCATCCAGGACCCGAAATATGAAATAGACCCAGAGTTGACACCCCACCCACTGCTCCCCATGAAGATACCCACAACTTGCCAGGCCTGTTTTCCTAAGTACTCTTGCGTATACAAAGTCATGTGGTTTTACAGCGGCACCCATGCACCTTCCCAGCATGAGAGGCCTGAGTGACAGTGGCATGGCCGTCCTCCTGGTTGAGCCACAGGGGAGGGGGAGCCAGGACTCCCCCATCACCATCCTCGTCTGAAAGGAAAGGATGGTTTTCTAATGGTTTCTCTGAGGAGAGACCTAGGACCTTGAATCAGCAGGGCCGGGGAGATGGCCAGACACTTGCAGTCACCAGAATCACCACAAATCCGTAGTGAGGGCTGAAATAGGCGAGGGCCGGGTGGATGGAGTCTGTACCACTGAATGGGAAGCCTGAGACCTGGGGCACAGGCGTGCCAGGACCCTGTTGGCAGGATCTGGAAAGTGGGAGCTGCTCATGAGAGATTTCAAAGCTGGCTGCTTAGTGGGGAGAGGGCGGGGTCCAGCAGAGAGCCTGAAGTTGGGGTGGGGGCAAGTCCTTGGCCTGATTGGTCTCAGTTTGGGTCTGTACTTTATGGTCATGTGGGAAACTTTTTTTTTTAATGGCCTTCTTAGAGATGGGGTGGGGGGTTGTTTGTTTTCCAAGACAAGGTTTCTCTGTAGACCAGGCTGGCCTCAAACTCAGACCCACCTCTGCCTCCCCAGTGCTGGAATTAAAGACACCTTGTTGGAAGATTCTTTGCAAAGAAAATGTTCTGATTTTACTGGATTGTGAATGAGGGGAGAGGTTGGAAGCCCTAGGATGGGATCTTGTAAGACTTGGAAATGTTTAAGAGTTTTAAAGAAAAAAATGTTTGAAGCTGGCAACCGGGTGTAGTCTCAAGGTACCTTGACGAAAATTTAAGCAGATTTAGAACTGACAGCTTACATCAAGCCAACACCAGTCTTCAAACTGTTTTCTGATCGACTCTTGTGCTCCACTCAGTATTCAAAAGTTTTTGAAACCATCATAGAAAAGCTAAGTCTGAGACCCAGCAATGGGTCTTCTACTCCTGGAGTGCTAGGATCACAGACCTGTGCTACTACGTAGGTCTTGTTTACTGATGGGCTCTAACCGAACCATCTAGACCATTGCTCATGCTTAAACTGGGGGATTTTCTTCTTTTTCCCCCTGTACTGATTGATGGGAGGAATGTTACAATCTTGAAATAGGGAGATGGGTTAGTAGGACTGAGCATCAGTTAGGGTTGGCCCTTCTATTCCAGATATACACAGGTTCGTGGGAGGGGAGGGCAGAAGGGATCCTGTTGCTGTAAGCGGGGATGGGGGTGGGTGTGTGCAGGGCCTGCTGATACTAAGGATAAAATGAGTCTCTGGCATATTTTGCTCTTAGTGGTCCATTGCTGATGCACTTTGTAAGAAGGATATGGTGCCAGGCCCAGTGTGCAGGCCTGCAGACCCAGCAGCTCTTAGGAGGTGGCCCCAGGAGGGTCAGGAGCTACATGGTGACTTCAAGGCCAGCCTGGGGTACTTGATACTGTAGTTCAAAACAGTAGTGTGTGTCATTGGGTGTAGTTTTCTAGCAGTTTGTTTTTCTGATTTTGCGAGGCTCTGGTTTGTTCATCTGTTGCACAACTGGAGGTCATTTTCATTGTTGATTACTGTTTTCCTGTCCACTCTGCCTGTGGGACATTGGGTGGCTTGGTCTGTGTTTTGGCTGCAGTGGACATCTCCGGAGCAGACAGTGGTGTGCTTTGCTGATTTCTCACTTTTGTGGAACTGTCAGGTAATGTTACTTTAAACTTGTTACTTAGCTTTCATTGTCCTGAGCTCTGTTTTTTTTTCTACTACAGGCTTCAGCCCCCGTGGGGGCGGCTTTGGTGGCAGAGGAGGCTTTGGTGACAGAGGCGGTAGAGGAGGAGGCCGAGGAGGCCGAGGCGGCTTTGGCGGGGGACGGGGAGGCTTTGGTGGAGGTCGAGGTCGAGGTGGAGGAGGAGGTGGAGGCTTCAGGGGACGAGGAGGTGGAGGAGGAGGTGGACGAGGTAAGTGAAGTTGACCTGTGGGGGGGAGGGGGAGAGGTGGGGACCTCCCTCTCCACCTGCAGCTTTCTCTTGCAGGTGGAGGCTTCCAGTCTGGGGGCGGCCGGGGTCGAGGTGGTGGCCGGGGAGGCAAAAGAGGAAACCAGGCAGGGAAGAATGTGATGGTAGAGCCACATCGGCATGAAGGTAAGTGTGGTGGGTGGGGAAGCGGCTACAAGTGGACTGTGACCACAGAGTCCTCAACCCTGCGCTACTCTGCTCCGCTCACCAGGTGTCTTTATCTGTCGCGGAAAGGAGGATGCCCTTGTCACGAAGAATCTGGTCCCTGGAGAATCTGTGTATGGGGAGAAGAGAGTCTCTATTTCAGTGAGTCATGGACCCGTCCGGAGTACCAGCCCCAGCTGATAGTGTCCCCTGCACGCCAGCCTTGCTACTGTGTCCCACACGTGACAGCAGAGGGGTGTCCGTGCATTAGTGAGGCCGTGCACACTGCTCCAAACTACTGGCCCTGTTGTTTTCCAGCTCCATTCTGCACTGCTTCCTTACCCTCTGCCTCTGGTCTCCCTGACGAGGCCCTGTCACACCACCCTACCTGTCTGTGTTCCTCACAGCCCTGGCCCTAGTTCTCCCGTGTCCTCTTCTCTGTGGCCAGCTGTAAGCCCGTCTGCTCACCTCCGGGTCTGGTTCAAAAGTGTCCCCAGCCCTTGCTGCTCCTTTCACAGCTTCCTCGCTCTGCTCCTGCCTCACACCCTCTCTCCTGGCTTGGTCTCTAGCCTGTCACCGTCTCCTGAACCACTTTGTATGTTAGTTCAATGCGTACGTAACTAGGGGCAGGGGCAGGATGCGCGTCCTGTTCACTGTTGTTCCCAGCACCTGAAACGGGAGCCAGGACAGGAAGGAATGCCTGGTGCCCGGCTTTCTGTGACCATTTATTTACTGTCTGTTGTTCTTGTCCCGTCCCAAGTGAGCAGCCTCCTTGAGATGGCAGAAGGCTCTGCCCTGGTACCTGCTGTGCATCTGCATTTGGGATGCACTGTTTCTTTTGAGGTCCCTGGGTTACGGGGAACGGAACCCTGCACAAGAGCCTGGCATTGACTTCTGTCCCCATCTCTTCTGGTCAGGAGGGAGATGACAAAATTGAGTACCGAGCCTGGAACCCCTTCCGTTCCAAGCTGGCAGCAGCAATCCTGGGCGGTGTAGACCAGATCCACATCAAGCCAGGAGCCAAGGTGCTCTATCTCGGGGCAGCGTCAGGCACCACTGTCTCTCACGTCTCTGATATCGTTGGCCCGGTGAGTGGACAGGTGGTGGAGATGGGGGGACCTGGACCTGGCCATTTCCCTGCACTGTGATTGTAGAGCCAGATTCATCCCTCATTGTGTGAGAGGGACAACTTAAGGCAGAGTTCCCTTCATTACCACTCCTGGATTCTGGATTTTAATACAGAGTTGTGAGCGTGGAGGTGTGAACGGGGTTAAATGACCCAGAGCTGGGAGTGTAGATACCAAACTATTTTTGTTGCCCTCTTGAGAAATGTATGTCCCACATCTGGGAGAGTGGCTTAGTTATTAAAGCTCTTGACCCAAGCATGAGGGCCCCACGCGCGCACACATACCATGTTTAGGGTTGCGCCTAGGGCCTATTGAATGTTAGGCAGGTATGCCTACATCCAGTCCTTGGTTTTTACTGGTGGGCTTGTGTTTCTGTGTGGAATGCCAGTTCCTGGTGCAGAGAACACCTTGTTCCTGGGTGTCCCATTTCACAGTCTCTTGATGGTGGCTGAATTATAGACTCTACAGTTTGGTGGATGAAGACCCTGTGCTTGGCCAGGTGTGAAGACACACACCTTTATATTCCTAGCCTAAGCTACGTAGTTAGACCTCATCTAAATACAGTCAACACAACTGAGGCTTCTGTAGGTATTTAATAGTGTGTGGCTTCGGGGAGGCACCTGAACTCCCTGAACCAGAGGTTAACATTATGGAGAATAAGATTGTTTGAAAATTAAACGTTTCTTTGTGCAAAAAGTAGGGTTTTGATTGAAGGTCTGAGGGCCTGCTACAAGTGGCTCATCACTGTTGGATTTATTTTAGGATGGTCTGGTCTACGCAGTTGAGTTCTCCCACCGTTCTGGCCGTGACCTCATCAACTTGGCCAAGAAGAGGACCAACATTATTCCGGTGATTGAAGATGCTCGGCACCCGCACAAATACCGCATGCTTATCGGTGAGGGGCCTGGGGGCAGCCTAGGGAAGGTAGGGTAAGACACTGCACGTTTCCCAGAAGAGGCCGATGGGTTGGGGTGAGGAGCTGCAGGTAGAGTTTGTGTCGGGTCGTCCCTGATCTCCTTCCCTGAGTCCCATTCGCTTCTGCTCCTCTCTGACACCTGATGCCTTTTCACACTGCCCTGGTTTGTGTCTTAAAGCCTCTTGCCTTTCTGTATATTATCTGATGAGATTCCAGCCCTGAGCACAGCAAGTATGACCCAATGGCTTTGTTATCTTGTTTTTGTTAAACACCTCAAAGGTCTAGTATAAAAGTGGAAAGCCTTGTGAATTCCCCCAGAGGTACTTGATACTTGCCATCTGCTTTTCCAAATTCTTACAATATTTTCATTCTATCACTTTTGCTTTTGTTTTAAATCATACTGCCTAAAAACATTGCCTTTTCATTGCACTTTCTTGTTGTGTTTGGTTTGGGGGGAGATTTTTTTTCTTTTCTTTTTCGTTTTTTCCTTGTCCTCATTTAATAGCCCTGACCACGTCTTGCATTTAACTGCTCACCTTTACTTGTCTTTTTGATGACATGTCTGTCTCCCCCCAGACCCGGGAGCATCTCGAGGGCAGGGTCTGACTCGTCTCTGTGTCCCCCACGCCCAGCCCAGGGCTGGCCACAGAGTAGGTGGCAACCATGGCTTACAAGAGGAGTGGATGAGTGATGTGACTGGGTTCTGGCCCCACCTCTGGGGCGCTTTGGAGGGAGGGTTTGTGGTGGGGAGTGAGACTGGAGGCAGGAGACTCCCAGGAACCTGGTGGTGATGGAGCACAGGCCCCCATTGGGAGCTCTGGGACGCTCTGTGATGGCTTCTATTTGTAACGCCTGTCCCTTCTTCCTTAGCGATGGTGGATGTGATCTTTGCGGACGTGGCACAGCCAGACCAAACCCGGATTGTGGCCCTGAATGCCCATACCTTCCTGCGGAATGGAGGACACTTTGTGATTTCCATTAAGGTACGAGGGTTGGAAGTCAGGGGGTGGCAACAGTATGGTGTAGCTGGGTGCTTGATCTCTCGTGTCTGAGCGTATTACTCAGCCTAGCCTGCCTGACTCAGTATTGACTTTCAGTCCTCTTTAAGGTTTCAGAGTAAAGAGTGATAGAGAGTAAATATTAAATAAGTGCAAAGTGCATTTTTTAAAACATTTTAATTTGAATGCAAAAAACTCCCAGGCATCTTCACCATGTTCAAAATTAGCTAGCCTATTGCTACATTTGTTTTACTGTTACCAGGACATGGAAGGAAATTCCTGAGTTAAAAAACACCGCCTTAGATAACTGGGACATCCTTTTCCAGTCCGAGCCAAATTAAAACTTTTGTAATGGAGTTCTATGATTGCACAACCCCGGGTCTCCAAATCTTTAATGAAAACGTACTTTAAGCTTCAAACAATACCCAGCCCTCCCGTCCTTGCTCCTCTGTAGGCCAACTGCATTGACTCCACTGCCTCGGCAGAAGCTGTGTTTGCATCCGAAGTGAAGAAGATGCAGCAGGAAAACATGAAGCCCCAGGAGCAGTTGACACTGGAGCCCTATGAACGCGACCATGCTGTGGTTGTAGGTGTGTACAGGTGAGTGCCACGGTAGACTCTGCCTTACAGCCTCAGCTCCCTGGGCCTGGGGAGCCCAAAATGTTGACAACTCGACCCCCTCTGATTTCCTCACAGGCCACCTCCTAAGGCGAAGAACTGAAACTCAAAGCTGTCTGGATTCGAAGAAATGTGTGTTGTTACTGTTGCACGTGTAGTTTTGTTTTGTTTTGTTTTCTATTAAAAGTACTCATCTGTCGCCCCTGTCTGGTGCTGTTTGCTCAGTAGCCAAAAGACGCATGCGCCCTTGACCAACTTTATGTGCGTTGGGGGGGTGCCTTGGAAAGTTTCATCCGGTCACATGGTGCATGCTCCACTGATGACTGCTACGCATGTGCGCGGCTCTGCGCCCTTAAGGCGCAGGCGCACAGGTCTCCCCTAAGTCACGTGAGTGGTGTGGGGGCGGAGCCAGGACAGGGGGGCCGGTTTGTTGTGGTCGCCATTTTGCTGGTTGCATTACTGGGTAATCGGGGCCCTGGCTCGCTGCGTCCGCCGGACACCTTCAGCCAGTGGGGAGGTCTGAGCTCGGGCTCCCCGAGCAGTTTGAGTCCCCTTACCCACGCCCTCAGGTAACGGTGCAGCGACGGGTGGGGCGGCACGCGTGGATGGGGGCAGGCCGGGATCCGCCCTGCCCGACCCCGCGAGACTTAGCAAAGGAGAGGAGGGGGCTTCGGGCCGGGGCGGACGAGCCCGGCTATTTACAGCCGGATTCCTGGAAGGGGCCGAGCCCGAGGGAGCCGTCTAGAAAGGGAGTCTGGGAGGGGGCAGCCCGGCCCCACTCCCGCCCTTTGTTTGGGCTCGGCTGCGCTGGCCGCTTCACTGTCGCCTAGCAACAGCTGCCCTGAGTGCTGATTGGTTAAGCGCTTGGCAGCAACAACCAATGGCGTGGTTGTTGCCATGGGAGGTGCGGCCTGCCGTGCTCATTAGGGCCCCGCCCGCCGGGGCTCCACCGGCCGGGGCGGGCCTGCCGGGTGGGGGGCGGGACGCCAGGGTCCCTGGGGGCGGGTGGCCACGCGGGGCGGGGCTGGGCCGTAGGGCGAGGGTTAACCCGCCCCTCCCCCGTCCACCTGCTGTCCCCTTCCCCCGCGTGCCCCGGTCTGACCCTCGTCCCCTCCTCTCCCCGCCCCCCTGGCGGCGGCGGTGGCGGCGGCTGCTGTTGTCACCCACCGGGCCGCCTGTCCCGCTTGCCCTCACCGCCGCGGGGCTGGCCAGGCCGGCCGGGCCGGGGACAGGCGGCCACCTTCTCATCGCCGCCGCCACCGCCATGCTGGCCGTTCGCCCACCGCACTGGGGGCCCCATCGCTCCCCAGCCCCCCGTGGGCCCGGCGCCAGCCCTGACCCGGGTAGGGGTGGGAGCTGGGAGGGCCGGGGAAGACGTGGTTTGTCAGTGAAGCCCCAGTAAAGGGGACGTGGAGTCGCCAGGCGGAGGGTAGCGGATCTGACATGGGGGAGGTGCTTAGGTAGAAGATTTTGCTCTGGAGGACACTTTTCAGGGAGCGAAGTCTTGAGTGTTATTTAGGGATTTGGCTGTTGGGCCCTTCTAGGAATAGGCTCAATTGTGGAATGACCCGGTTTAGAAATATTGGAGAGAGGGGACAGACAGCAAGGATCCCAGTGTAAGGGAGAAAAAGACAGCGACTCTTAAAATGTTGAGAAACGACACCTCCCATTTGTTTTCCTGAGGAGTAGGGGGAAACCCTAAATATAGACTACTTAGAAGAAGGGTCCCTGGTGCGGGGTTCCCGTATAGGGTGCGGTCTTGATGGGGTGTAGAGTGGTCTCCGGGGAAAGTGCCTTGGTGCTTGAGACACCCGTAGCACTCGCAATAAAGGAGTTCCCAGATAACCTTGGTTTTGCTGGGAGGCCCGCAAGGACCGCTATGGTGTGAGCGATCTGGGAGTTCTCCGGAGTGGAAAGAACTAGATAGAAGCTAGACTAGATTTGTGTGGCCCAGATCCTGGTGTTGAGGGAAGACCCTGTGAGGGCGGGGCCTTATCTGCGGGGATGGGCACCAGCAGGAATTGAAAGAAAAAGTGGATTCTGCTGCCCAGACTCTACATGGTTTCTATCTTCTCTTTTGCTCTTCCAATTACTGGTCTTTCTCTGTCCTTCCTGCCCTGGCTTTGTGCGCACTCCCCCGCCCCTGTGTGCTTCTAACCATTCCCTTTTGTGTTTTATCATTATGTCCCCTCATTTATGTGGCTGATCATTGTTGAGGGACACTGCTGTGCCAACCCACCCTCTTGCCGCTTGTTTCTGTCCCTCTGCATCGCTACCTGGTGCCCCCCTTGCCCTGCCCACCTCTTCTGCTTGGCCCTGACCTACATACCCTCTTGTTCCATGTTGTCTCCCTACTTCCTACCTGCTCTCAGGTCTCAGCGGCGGTGGCAGCCGAGGTGCAGAATGCGAGAAGGCGCCCCCCAGCCGGGCTCCCGCTCCAGGCCTCACACCCTTGCGGCCCTCTGAGCCCACCATGGCCGTCCCACCAGGCCATGGTACCTTCTCTGGCTTTCCAGGGCCCCAGGAACACACACAGGTAGGCATTGAGCTGGCTTCTCACCTGCTCGGGGATAGGAAGAAGCTGAGGGTCAAAGGGTCTCCAGGCAGCAGCATGACTGTTAGAAGATCTCTGAGGATGTTGGAGGCCTCATGATCCTGGAAGAGTCTCCGGTGGAATTTGGAAAGTCCACACGTCCTCCTGCTCTAAGGACGGAAGTACTGAGCTTCTCCATGGCCCTCCATCTCTGATGGTTTCAACGGTTAAGAAAATTAAGCGTAACGTTTGTTGGGCTCAGAACTGCCTCTGGCATACAACAGACCAGAACACAGGTCTTAGTGTCCACAAGAGACAGAGGTCTGGAGTGAAAAGCTTGGAAGGGATATGGAGAGGATGGGAAGGAAAAGTGACCCGAGGGTAGTGGGAAACCCAAAAAGTCTAATCCCAATCCAAGTTAAGAACTGGGCACAGGCACTGGTGAGACCTGGGAAATACAGGGAGTTCAGTGGCCTGGTTCCCAATAACAGTGGTCTCGGGTGCAAAGAACCCGGTTTCTTTCAGTGTGTTCACTGAGGTTCAGAAGGGAATAAAGATAGAAAGCAAATGAGCTGACCAGGGCCTGGATGGAAGGACATTTACGTTATCATGCAAGGAACAGATGTCTGGGGGACCCCAGTGTGTGATGGGCCCTATTGAATGGGATCTGTCCTTGGGGAGCTTCTGCTCTTGTGCAGAGCTAGGTAAATGTGGGCATGGTCCAGTAGCCATCAGCTTTACCATTCTCTCCCTGGAAGTTGGAGGTGAAGGTCTGTGCTCAGTGTCTGGGTCCCTCTTCCCCCACAGGTCTTGCCTGATGTGCGGCTACTGCCTCGGAGACTGCCCCTGGCCTTCCGGGATGCAACCTCAGCCCCGCTGCGCAAGCTCTCCGTGGACCTCATCAAGACGTACAAACACATCAATGAGGTGGGTGGAGAATGGGATTCCCTGGCTGGGTGCTGAGAAGGGTCCGGGCTGCTTGCCAAGGCCACTCAAGGGTCCGGTTTCCTGGCTGCCTGAGCAGGTATACTATGCGAAGAAGAAGCGGAGGGCCCAACAGGCGCCACCCCAGGACTCAAGCACCAAAAAGGAGAAGAAGGTCCTGAACCACGGTTATGACGACGACAACCACGACTACATTGTGCGCAGTGGCGAGCGCTGGCTAGAGCGCTACGAGATTGACTCTCTTATTGGCAAAGGCTCCTTTGGCCAGGTGTGGGATTCCCCACTCATGCAGTGTCTGGATGCAGACAACCACTAACCTTACCCACATTCCCTCCCCCCGCCCCCCCCCCCAGTATTAGCTGGCCACTTAGTTCCCCTTTGTCTCAGTTCCTATAAAAGTGTAAATAAGAAGACGCCACACAGGGAACTGTTATTTTGTATCCAGTACAAGGGATGTGAGGCTGGGCTGTGAGTTAGGGCCTCCCACCTCCCCAGGTAACTATGCATGTCTCCACAGGTGGTGAAAGCCTATGATCACCAGACCCAAGAGCTGGTGGCCATCAAGATCATCAAGAACAAAAAGGCCTTCCTGAACCAGGCCCAGATTGAGCTGCGGTTGCTGGAGCTGATGAACCAGCATGACACAGAGATGAAGTATTACATAGGTGAGACCTGGGCCTGGGTGAGCACGGGATGCCAGGGGTCTCCTGCCGCGGTCTCTGCTTGCTTAACAGCGGTCAGGGCTTACCCAGTGCTCACTAAGGGCCAGACTCTGCTGTAAACATTTCACATGAATTACCTCACCCCAGCCCAGTGAGGGAGAGGGCAATCCCTCTGTGCATGTTAGAGATAGGGAACTGAGGCACTCTTCGCTGTCACATACACCAGGGGACAATTTATACACAACAGAATTAATGAGATGTGTCTCAGTCTTTAGTTCCTCAGGAAAGGGACCGACAGGTGCTTAAAAGGACAGTCAGTGTCCCTTGCCACAAAGACAGATACAGCTAAAAGGAAAGCAGGTTCATTTGTTCATTCAGGCTTTTGGTGGTGGTGGTGGTAATACTTCTTGGGGTTTTGTTTTGCCATACTGGGGATCAAACCCAGCGCTTCAGATGTCCTAGGCAAGCGCTTCACCCCAAACCTGCATCTCCAGACCTCTTTTCACTTAGTTATGTTGAGACAGACTTCTCCAGACAGGCCTTGATGTTGTTATGCTCTTCCTCATCCTGTCTGAAGACCTTGGTCTTCATGCCTGCACACCAGGCCTGGCTCGGTGTTGTAAATGAAATGAGGAAGCGTGGAAATGTTTTGAAGCCTATTAGGATGTTATATGCGGGGCTGGGGCTTGAACCCAGGGCCTTGTGCTTGCTCCCACCCTTTGGCCATCCCTTACCCTACGCTAATGTAACCCTAAGGTTACTCTACCCTTTTGTTTGTTTTTGTTTTGTTTTTTTTTTGTTGTTGTTGTTTTGTTTTTTGTTTTTTTGATTCCAGGCTTCACTGTATACCAAGCTGACCCTGAACTGGCCATCTTCTGATTTAGCTTCCCAAGCACTGAGATTACACAATCATGCTTTCTGTTCCCTGCTGGCAGAAACCTGCCTTTTGGTAGAAACTGGAAGGTCTGAGAGCCTCAAGAGAATTAGCGTGCTTTGGGAGTCCTCTAAGTCCAGTGCGCAAACACCTAGGGCTCGCTGCAGTTTAGCGGAGGTTACTGTGTGGCCCCAGGCCACCAGTCCTGTCACCTGTCCCTCATCTGTTGCCTGCTGTTCCCCCACAGTGCACCTGAAGCGGCACTTCATGTTCCGGAATCATCTGTGCCTGGTGTTTGAGCTGCTGTCCTACAACCTGTACGACCTCCTGCGAAACACACACTTCCGCGGTGTCTCACTGAACCTGACTCGGAAGCTGGCGCAGCAGCTCTGCACAGCGCTGCTCTTCCTGGCCACGCCCGAGCTCAGCATCATCCACTGCGACCTCAAGCCTGAGAACATCCTGCTCTGCAATCCTAAGCGCAGTGCCATCAAGATCGTGGACTTTGGCAGCTCCTGTCAGCTTGGCCAGCGGGTGCGGCTCTGACTCTGGGCAGGGCCATGGGTGGGATGGCATGGGATGGCTTGGTTTTGACCCTGGAAGCTGATGCCTGAGAGATGACACTGGGCCTAGGGAATCTGGTCTGGAGGGAGGGGGTCAGAGATGAAGGGGAAAAGGAGACCCAAGCAAGGAAGAGAAAGGGTTGAGATCTGAGCCTGTGCCCTGCCCTGCTGACTTGTGCTCTGCAGGTCACAGGTAGAGGACCTTGAATTCTTGCAGCCTCTGTGAGCAGGCAGAGGGGTTACACTAGTGTAGTTCAGTATGGGATGGCCAGCCTCTCTCAAACAAAAGCGGCCAGAGCTGGGAATGGAAGGAAGCAGGGTTAAAAGCAGGCCCAGGAAGACTGGACACTGATGAGCCAGACAGTGGCTGGCTTCTGCAGCATAGCATGGCTGACTGAGACCCTAGAGGCTCCATCCTGTCTTCAAGCAGGGGCTGTCTTCAGTTGAGCATTCAGTGGAACCAGCAGGGAGCTGGTGCCCTGACAACTGTCCCCTTCCCCAGATCTACCAGTATATCCAGAGCCGCTTCTACCGCTCACCCGAGGTGCTCCTGGGCACACCCTATGACCTGGCCATCGACATGTGGTCCCTGGGCTGCATCCTTGTGGAGATGCACACCGGAGAGCCCCTCTTCAGCGGCTCCAATGAGGTGTGCCCCTGGAAGGGGTGTGCTGGAGGTGGAGGGGTGGAGCCTGGCCGCCCGGCGCCCCTGACCGCCGCCTGCCCGCAGGTGGACCAGATGAGCCGCATTGTCGAGGTGTTGGGCATCCCGCCCGCGCCCATGTTGGAACAGGCACCCAAGGCTCGCAAGTACTTTGAGCGGCTGCCTGGGGGTGGCTGGACCCTACGAAGGACAAAGGAACTCAGGAAGGTGCGGCCCCTGCCCTGTGCCACTTCTCCCTCCCTGGGTGGCCCCTCACTCACACTTGGGGCTCCCCTCTCCCTGTGTCTTTCCCGGTCTATCTCTCCCCCCACCTTGTCTGTCCTCTCCTTCCTCCCTACCCCATCACCGTCCCACCCCACGGCTCTCGTTAGCTTCTCTCTTCCTCTCTTGTGCCTCTGTTTCCCCGTGTGTGTCTCCCTGCCCCTCCTGCCCACTGACGGCCACTCTCTTGCCCCCCCTCCCACCCCCTCCCTGCCAGGATTACCAGGGCCCCGGGACACGGCGGCTGCAGGAGGTGCTGGGCGTGCAGACGGGCGGGCCCGGGGGCCGGCGGGCGGGGGAGCCGGGCCACAGCCCCGCCGACTACCTCCGCTTCCAGGACCTGGTGCTGCGCATGCTGGAGTATGAGCCCGCCGCCCGCATCAGCCCGCTGGGCGCTCTGCAGCACGGCTTCTTCCGCCGCACGGCCGACGAGGCCACCAACACGGGCCCGGCAGGCAGCAGTGCCTCCACCTCGCCCGCACCCCTCGACACCTGCCCCTCCTCTAGCACCGCCAGCTCCATCTCCAGCTCTGGTGGGTGCCCAGTGTCACGTGTGCCACAGGGCCCAGCCTGGGAGACCGCCCGCTGGTAGCTCTGTCCCAGAGCTACCAGAGTGTGAGCTGCAGGGTGAGGTGGGGTGGGACAGTCCCACGTGACCAACAGGCTCTCCTAACTGAGGCTTGAGATTCAGCCCCTAAAGCTGACTCTACCCTCTCACACAGCTCTGCCCGGAGATTTCAAAACTGGGCTGCTCGAGCCTTCACACGGCTCTGGCCTCAAAGTCCAAGCGCGTCTAGGTGTCGAACAGACTCCTGGCATCTTACCGCCTCTGCCCTCTTTTCTCCTTCCCGGTGCTTCCAGGAGGCTCCAGTGGCTCCTCCAGTGACAACAGGGCCTACCGCTACAGCAACCGATATTGTGGGGGACCTGGGCCCCCCATCACCGACTGTGAGATGAACAGCCCCCAGGTACTGGAGCCGGGAGACCTTGGAGGTGGTTGACGGGTGCTTAAGACTTTAGGACCTCAACGTCCATCCTTTGTGTTTCTGGTTTGGTTTTGTTTAGGTTATACCCTCCCAGCCTCTGCGCCCCTGGGCAGGGGGTGATGTGCCCCACAAGACACATCAAGCCCCTACCTCTGCCTCGACATTGTCAGGGACTGGGGCCCAGTTACCCCCCCAACCCCGATGCCTTGGACGTCCCCCATCACCAACATCACCACCACCCCCGGAGCTGATGGATGTGAGCCTGGTGGGCAGCCCTCCAGACTGCTCCCCACCTCATCCAGCGCCTGCCCCCCAGCACCCGGCTGCCTCAGCACTCCGGACTCGGATGACGGGAGGTCGACCGCCTCTCCCACCCCCTGATGACCCTGCCACTCTGGGGCCTCGCCTGGGCCTTCATGGTGTGCCCCAGAGCACAGCAGCCAGCTCATGACCCTGCCCCCTCCCTGGGGCCCCTCCTGAAGCCATACCCCCCCATCTGGGGGCCCTGGGCTCCCATCCTCATCTCTCCCCTTGACTGGACTTGCTGCTACCCAGCTGGGGTGGGTGAGGCCTGCACTGATTGGGGCCCAGGGCAGGGGGTCAAGGGAGAGGGGTTTTGGCCACACCCTCCCCGCTAAGACTGGACCCTTGGCCCCCTCTCCCCTTGTTTTCTATTTATTGTACCAAAGACAGTGGTGGTCCGGTAGAGGGGAGATCCCCCTCACCCCAGGACCCTAGGAGGGGTGGGGGCAGGTAGGGGGAGATGGCCTTGCTCCTCCTTGCTGTACCCCAGTAAAGAGCTTTCTCACATGCCTGCCTGAGCGTTTGCAGGGCCTTGCCCCCCTCTCCTGACCCTCAGAGGCATGGTGGGGAAGGTTGTGTGGGGAGGGCTGCTTTGTGGTGTGGGTATATCCTTCCTGGGGACGTCATACTTCTCGGTGCAGGCATGGCAGGAGGTTGGCGGGCTGCAGAACCATAGAGGCACCCTGGGCACAAGAGTCCTGGCCCACATTTGCCTTTTCGGGGGTAAAAGGCCCCTTTCTGGCCTGTGGCTGGAAACTGTAACGTTCAGCCCTCATCTGTCAGGGGTCCCAGAGAGCCCACCCAGGAGGGGCTTTTTTGTGGCAGGCAGGCACCCAGTAGGCTCTGGGTGTGCTCCACAGGCCTTCCTTAGTACTATCCAGAGAGGCTATGGGGACAGATTTTACCCCGCCTGTATCCTGCCCCATTCTGGAGTCATTGCTGAATATTGAGATTCTCGGGCAAAAAGGCGCTCCCTGACTTCCAGGTAAGTGATTTTTGTTTCATGGCAATTTGGAACCAGCTGTCTTCCCAACCAGCCTTGCAAGAACTACCTGGTTCAAACTGTTAAGATCACTCACAACGGGCGGGCGCGGTGGCTCCTGGGAGATGGAGTTTTACAAGACCGGCTCTTTGCTCACTTTTCTTGGGGAACTACAAAGCCCAGAAGTCCCTGCGCACGTGGCTGGGGACTGGTTTTCGATGAGCTGTGGGGCATTAGGGCCCGGATGTGGGCGGGTCAATGGCAAGAGTGACGATTGGATTACACGCAGGGGCGGGGTGGGGCGTAGTCAGCCCGCCTTGCAGGGCTGTGTAGGGCCCTTGCTGAGGTCATGGTGAGCAAAGTCCTAGTCACTTGTGGGGCACTGGTGGTCATTTTGAGAGTGCCGGTTAACATTTATCGGGGTCTTTGGTTATCTAGAGGGCTGGACCTTTTCGAAGGGACTGAAGCACAATGGAAGTGCATAGTGCATAGTCTGGTTTTTCTGAAATATGCAAGTAGGTTGCAGAAAAAGACTCGAGTCTGGCAGTTTGTGGCAGCCCCCCTAGGCAAGAGCTGTCTAGGATGTGACAGGGCAGGCAGGGCTGGAAAGGACAGATGAGCTTTCCAGATGGTTGAGTGGACAGGCTGAGTGGAAGGAGGAAGGAGGGAGGGGCAGGGAAGTCTCCAGCACATAGAGTGCCCCCGTGCCCGTTGGTAGTCTCTGTTTGGTTTGGTTTGGTTTTTAATGTGTTTTTGTAGTGCCGGGGATGGAACCCAAGATCCCAGATGCTGGGCAAGCGTGCTATACACAGCACCCAGTAAAAAAGACTGAGTGAACAGTCCTAGAAGACAGGGACTGCAGTGACCTCTGCGAGTTTGGGGATAGTGAGGGCAGATGGAAGTTAAGTTACTTGCCTAGGGTCACACGACTAAGAAGTAGGCTCAGGTTGGGGTGTGTGTGTGTGTGTGTGTGTGTGTGTCTGTGTGTGTGTGTGTGTGTACCAGTCATTGATTTAACAAAGTGTATTTGAGCTGGAGGCATCAGCAGGGCCAGATCATGTAGGCCCTGTGAGGAATACGGAATGGGCTGGGTTGTCATTTGTATGTGTGGTTGAGAATCACGCTCCAGGCTGACTGACCCCTTGGGTATCTCCCAGGCACTCTCATAGTTCCGGCAGCTGAGTATGTAGCATCACCATTCCCCCACGCAACCAAAGAAACTCTGAGCACCTACCTGTCCCTCTCTGCTGAGAATCCTCCTGGACTCCATCTCTCTCAGGGTAAAAGCCCAAGGCCTTTCTGTGACATGACCTGGGAGCAGTCACCGTCTGCCTCTGCCCCAAACACTAGCCTCAGGGCCTTGGTGCTTGGTGTTCCCTTTACCTGGATCATTGACCACTCTTCTGAATTATACTACTAACTTCCCTGTCTATTTTCCCTTCTTCAACTTTTTCCTTACGTCATGTGCTGGAATTTATCTTGTCAACTGCCCCTCCCACCCCCCTTGCGGGAGCCCTTGAACTTCTTAGAAGCAAGCGTTTGGGTCACTTTCTGTTTTTTTCTTCCACACAGAAGACGATGTGGCACCCAGCAGGGCTCACTATCAGATGAGTACTTGCAGAGCATAGGTCTGGATTCCAGCCTCCCGGGGACTCCACAGTGTGGAAACACAACAGAGAAGAAAGGATAGCATCCCTGCTTTAAAGAACTCAGTCTCAGGGTGGGAGTTCAGTCAGGTAGCAATGAGCAACAGAAGTGGCCAGGATCAAGAGCATTGAAGGAGCCCTTGATAGGCGTCTAATCTGTCTCCAAGGAAGAGATTGCAGACCTGGGGCTGGCATCAGCTCTATTCGGAGAGAAGTGTGTATGTGATGATTGGCTCCTAGACACTGAGATACCTTGTCCATCCCGGGCGAACCATGAGTCCCCACTGCCTGTGTACAGACAGTTGCAGGGGAATTTAAACATGGGACAGAGTAAGGTTAGCTGTGTTGGGATTTTAGTTTGGATTTACTTTATGAATATTTTGCCTGTATGTATGAGTGCACCATGAGCATGCCTAGTGGCCTTCAGAGGTCAGAAGAGGGCATTAGATCTCCTAAAACAAGTTAGGGATAATTGTGAACCATTGTGTGGGTGCTGGGAACCAAACCCTGGTCCTGTGGAAGAGCAGCCAGTGCTCTTCACCACTGAGCCACCTGTCCAGCCCAGCTGTATATTTTAAAGGTGTTACAATGGCTACATTTAAAGACAGTCTCCATTCTGCTATTTCTACTCAGGGTGGGGAATCTCCTTCCCCTTGAGTAAGGGCTGGGCCAGTAACTTGATCAACACAAGGGGCGCTGAGCCCAGTGGCCTTCACAGGTCTAGCGGCCTCTCCGTTCACCCCTGGTGCCCTGACTTTATATAGAGAGGTCCAGCGTCTGCCCCACCCATTTCAGCTGTGCAGCTATGGGCATGGCTTTGTGGATCTTCTAATCCAGCTGACACTACCCTGAGCCACTCCCCCTGAGCCGTGTCCATACACCACAGTCATGAAATAAGCAATTGAGAGTTTTATGACACTGTTTTAGGATAATTTGCTACTCAGCTGTAGCTAACTAACTGGACTAAGGCAGTATTTTCAAAATCATACACTGGTGAAATTGTGTAATTATGGGATAACTGAGTTCTCACAGCTAAATAGTATTGCCGTACCCATCCTACAGATGAAGAATCAAGGCACAGAGATGTCACTAAAGCATTGCAAGGTACCTTACCCGTAGCCCATCCTGAGTACTCAGTCATTAATATCAGCATTGAGTTCTGTCAGAATTCAGGTCTTCGTAGATGTTGAGGAGGGGACGGGATGGTGAGTAGAAGCGTTATTAAGCAGTCTAGGAGTGTCGTTCTAGGCAGGACAGGGAGAGCATCGAGGCAGCAGCTTCTGCCTCGCTCACGGGGAAACCCGCACGTGGTTGTAGAGCCAAGTCAGATCGAGCCTCCTGTTACTAGGAAGCCACGATGTCCTAGTTGAGCCCTGGGTCCTGTTCGCTGCTTGTTGATTCATCCAGTTGCAGGCAATTGCCACTTAGTGAGCACTGTTGGGGTACCAGGACTACAGCAGTAAACAGTTGCCCCTGTCGTTCAAAGCCAAGGGAGACAGCCATGGACACTGAGAGTTGGGGACAGAGATAGTGGACTTTGTGAGGATGTCTTTGAGAAAAATGTTAGAGGACTAGGCCAAAAGGGAGGAAGCTGTGTATTCTTTTGGGGTTTTTTGTTTGTTTGTTTTGTTTTGTTTGTTTGTTTGTTTTTGTTTTATGTGTGTGTGTACATTTTTTTTTAACATATCGATCCCAGTACTCCCTCCCTCCCATGCCCCCCTATTCCCCTCCCATCCCATTCCCCACCCACTCCACAGGGAGGGTGATGCTTTCCGGGAGGGATCATTAAAATCTGTCAAGTCATTTGGAGTAGGGTCTAGGCCCTCCCTCCTGTCTCTTAAAGGAAAGACATCTCTGTCAGAAGACTAAAGCCAGATCAAAGGCCCCGAGGCATCCTTGGTGTGTTAGAGAAACTGGACAGGAGAGACGGGGGCAAGGGCAAGGGTCCACAAGCAACTGTGATAAGGACTCTACTCAGCATGAGTGGCATGAAAAGCATCAGTCCCTTTGAGCTAGCATAGTGAGGTGTGTTCAAGGGCTTCCTCTGGCAGCCATGTGGTCAGAGGCATGGAGCATTCCAGCAGGACGTCCCAGCTGGCTTTGATGTCTGTGGCCTGGCCATAGTGGTAGCAGGAGTGGTCGGGTGTGGGGTGCAGGGTGAGAAGTCCGAAGCAGCCTGAGTGGAGGGAGGAGGAATCGTGCCCGCCTGGGACGTGGAAGAGCAGGCAGGGGTAGGCACATTTGAGAATGGCCGCCATATTGCTAGCATGAAAACCCTGTGAGATGACAGACGGAACAGATTGAAGTGGGTATAAGAATAGGAGCAGGGAGCCCAGGCCTGGAAGGCACAGTAACCGCCGTGTGAGGTGACTGGTATGGACCAGGGCAGTGTGGTGGGCAGGTACCAAGCGGTCTCAGTAGTGCTGAATTCAGGACCGCACATCACCCTCCCGCCGCCTCTGAGCATCTGCTGCTTCCTCTCCGTGCGTGCGGGTGACTGATCACTCTTGAGGGAGCTCTTGCCCCCAACCCTTTGTGGCCTTGCTGCTCACTTCCCCACAGCTCCTCCATTCTTGCTCACAAATCTGCTAGCAGGGGTTGTACAAATTGCGGGGGCCCTTCTGGACCATCTGGTTGGAGGGGGGCTGTGGTGATGTGCGCTACCAAGGGCTCTGTGCTAGACAGGTACCCCAAGCCTCATGGTTAGTGTGCTCACAGCTGGTAGGAGGGTGTGTGGGATGAACCATTTATGTTGCCTCAGGTGTGTGGATCTGAGAAGTGGGTAGGAAACTCTGCCCTGGAGGGCATCCCTGTAGAATCTAGCAGACTCTGAGCTGAGAAGGGCTCAAAATTAGGTCAGGGGCATTATAGGCCCAATT